GCGAGCGACGAATGGAGCTTCCAAAGTGAGAGACATGGAAACGCTTGACTCAGTGTCAGTGGTGATTGCCTTAACTACTCCTTGGAAACGCAGAGACATTCGCCAGCTGCATCCAGGAGATTTCCTTTCGCATGGAGCGCATCGAAGCTGACATGGGCAGTCAGGCACGGCACGTACCCACACTGAACTGAGGGAGCTGATCAGCCTGCAGGTCGAGCGTGCAGTAGCTTATGTGTGTATCTGTGCTCCGCAGAACAAGACATGCACATGAACAATCTACTTTTTCGGCTGCAGCTTGTGCAATCGAACTCGGGAACATGAAGAAGCTTCCGTGAGTCACGAGATCTTGGAGGGTCCACAGTGGGGATGTACTTTGGTGGAAGTCACCGCCATGAGCGGCTGGTTCTTCCTCGGCCAAGGAGGGAGGATATAATGTAATATAAACATAAACAAATAGAGATATACATATGTATATATATATATATATATGTATGATAGTCTAGTGTCCAGGTATACTCTAGCGAAGAATCCTGGTGCGTGGATCAATCGCAGGGCACGAGACTCGCAGCCCCAAACCCCAAACCCTCAACCGCCAAAGACCAAGACCCCGTGCCTATTCTATCATACTATCTCATATGATCACCTATTAGAGCATATCGCGTATCAGTATATCAGATGATGTCGTACTACATTATCTTATAGTACCCCATAGTGTCATGATATTCTACATCATAACTTATGTATGATATCACATCTGCGATAACCTAGTAGTAGAGTAGGTAACCTTTGACCTTTTTGGGGTAGTAGAATCCCCTTGTAATCCCAAAGGTGAACCTTTAAAATCCCCCAGGTTAAACCCTAAACCCTAAACCCTAAATTGCGTGCGAGGCGCAGCGACTCCACGACTTGGAGATCGGACGGCATCGGGTGGAGGCTTCTCTCTGGAATTGAGGTGTCGAGAACTCCAAGTTTCGGCTTTACGGTTGGAGGCTTCTCGCTGGAAATCGAGGTGTAGAGAACCCCAAGCATCCCCACCCAAACATCCCCAGACCCTCCCCTGAGCCCTACACCCCAAAGCCTCCTAGACCCTCCGAAACCCTCCTCAACCCTCCTAAGCCCTAAGCCCTCCTAAACCCCAAACCCTACCAAGCCCCCGATACCCATCAGGAGATGGTCGAGCTCCAGAAGGCGCAGAACTTGACCTTCAGCAAGCAGGCAGACTGCAGACCTCATGCACTTCTAGGGCTTAGGGTTTAGGGTTTAGGGTTCAGGGTTTAGGGTTTAGGGTTTAGGGTTCAGGGTTGAGGGTTTAGGGTTTAGGGTTTAGGGCGTTTAGGGTTTAGGGTTCTCGAGCTGCTCTGAGACACCTGGGAGGGTTTCACGAACATAGGGGACCCCCTCCAATATAGATCCCCAAATACTAGGATTCCGTTAGCATAAGAACCCCCAACAAGGTACCCCTAATGTAGGAAACCCCACAAAGTAACACAATACGAGATGATGTAGTGATATGGTGGTAGAATAGCGTGAGAGTAAAGACGGGCAGTAGTATATGTGATATGGTAGTATAATGGTAGCATGTATTCTCAGAGCGTTCGGGCCGACCGCGATGCACGATGAGGTGGAACAGCTGAGCCACTTCGGTGGGCAACAGCATGCCTGGAAACGGCAGCCCAGGGACCAACAACCGTATCACGAAGGGACGCCACTCTTAGGGTTTGCAGAAACCCGCAGGGGGTGAGGCCCCACTGTTCGGGCCAGCCTGGATCAGAGGCATGAGTGGCGGACTTCCTCACAAGTGAAGCGGCGGCTTAAGAGGGAGCATGCGGGAGATAAGTAGTGGCTAAGAAAGAGGTCGCCAACTAAGACCCGATGCTAAAAAGGCGTTCGACACACCTTTGTCCCCTAAGCCTTGCATGCAGATCGCAGGAGCAGCTGCCTTCCTTCCGCCCCCCAACTCTAAGCCCAAAAAACCCTATGAGCCCCGCAAGCTCTACAAACCCTCCAGGCCCGGAACGTCTAGACAGGACGACTATGTTTATACATGTGTATCTTTTTGATGTAGATGTACAAAGATACATATACCTATACATATACCTTTACATGTACATATACATGTTCATCTACATCTACATCTACGTATACATATACACATACATATATTCTGTATTCAGCCAGGAATCCGCGATGGCTGTCCTGACAGAAGGGCTGAAGAACGAGCCTGCAAGCTCAGACGTCCCATTTGTTTGCAGCTTCAACCTCGAGCTTTCAAAACATCTTTGGGCAACCTTTCGTGGTGCATGAAGCATGAGACACCTTGTGAGAGCTGGCGTGCTAGTGCTTTCCACGTCGTTCCACCTCAGGAAGCGTCCACAAACATGCACAGGTGCCATCTTTGTAGGTCCCTCACTTTAGCTTCAGGGTGATGTATCCATGCCTCCTGTGCATGTAGATGAACGAGTGCAAAGTCCATTCAAGTCCAAGCAATGGCCCGCCATGCTACGCCATATGTCGGCTGTGACATCATTATAATTACCCACCCTAAACCCACGAGCCCTCTCACAGAGCCACCCCACACCACCCCCGTCTCGCGCTGAGGCAGCGCATTCGCAAAGACGAGATCCATAGCAAGCCTCACACCCAGAGTGTCCAGTCTGATGAATGACCTACGGCTTCAACCAAAATATGTGTATGTATGTCGTGTGGTAAGGCAGTACAATACATTTTAACAAGTATCGCGAACTAGTTGCACATGTCCATGTGTGTAGGACACGTTCCAGCCTTTATGTGTATGTATCACTTCTGAAGTTGCCAGTTGTGGCTGGCCGGGCCCTTTGCTGGCTAAGGCTGCGGGAGCTGGCAGCCCGGCCAGTACGGCCCGAGGAGCGGAAGAGAAGTTTACGGCCAGCCCAGGATGATTTATGCGCCCCATAGGGCTTTTTGGTGAAGTAGGAGCAGGCCCTCAGCTATAAGGACTGCTCCCAGAACACACCGGAAAAGGGCCCACAAGGCCTCCTAAGATGATTCGTGAGCAGTTTCCTGCCCAAGCAGAGCGATAACACCCGCTGACGCAAAATCTTGTGAGGAAGCAGCGCGCAGGTGGTTTCGAACTTTCTTGCATCAGAATTCTGTCATCCTGTCACCTCTGGAGCTTGGGCAGGGGAAAAACTCCTAAACCCTAAACTGTTTCTCGCGCAGATGATGTGTAACCAAGCCCTTGCATGTGAGACCGGCGATGGAAGGGACTGCATCGAAACCCTATCTGGGTGGACAATTACTTGCCATGTCGCTTCTTCGAGACAGAAGCTACTACGTTGTAGTAAACCCTAAACACAAATGGCCATGTTCTGGCCATGCTCCGCTTCTGGCCGTTCCTTCATGTGGCTGCGAAGCAGCTTGGCGAGGAGCCAGACAGGGCTTGTAGGGGTTAGGGGTAGCCGTGAAGCAGTGCTCTTTGGCAGCGCCAATCATAGAAGCATCAAGTATGTTTGTCTGCAGCTGAGCCTGCGAAGCAAAAGCTATCCCCTGCAACAACACTCACTGAAGCTCTACAGTAGCTACCAGCAATTCTGCGCAACTAGTCTGCACAATGGTTCGGCCAAGATCGACTCACATCCTGCTCAAAGCTACTGTTGCCGACCGAAGGACGTGCAACCGGAAGGTGAGCTGTGCTGCCTCTCGGCAAGGATCGGAGATCTTGACCTTGTGCAACGAGGCGACGAAAACATGTAGAGCTACGCTGGCCTAGGCCATCGGCGCCGCGTAGAAACAGACCTGGCAATTCGGAATTGGTTAAGTCAGGCTTCAAGGAGGCTGATGTCCAGATACTGCGCCTCGGTGCGGACGAGGATCGCCATGAACATGAAGCATTGCGAAGCCGCCCATGCGCGTGAGTCCTCCCAACCACCAGGGCGCACAAGTTTGCGCCAGCTCCTCTTCTTGAAGCCTAAACCCCTCTTGACAGGAGCCAGTGGTGGTTGTGTCCAACTTCCTCTGCTCCACGGCCGCTTAAAACCGGGCGACCCTGCTACAAGGTTGATATTTTCGAGAAACAACTCCAGATCGCATAAGGACTAGTTTCGCCTAAGCCCCCCAAACCTGCGCTTTTCTCACTGGACCTCGAAGCCTCCAAGGCGCCGATGTCCTGGCAGAGCTACGGGCCACAGTGGCTGCAACAGCTCGCTTCGAGGAGGCGTTGGGGGGAACCGGTGTTGCTTACAAAGCATTGAGGTTTGACAGCGTGTTGCCCTCTGCTGGATTTAGTTGTAGCATGTGCATGTTTGTTGTAGAGTGTTTTGTCGAATGGGCATCTTCCCAACGCAGAAGTCTAAGCACCTACACAACAGCTGGCCTTGCATGGCATCGCAAAGTCGAAGAGGGATGCAGCTTTATCTGTGGCACGAGGTGTGGAGCAAGGAACAGACAGGGCACTGAAGGGCACCCTCGACCCCCAAAACCAGGGGAAGCACTGGGAAGATCCTGGCTTCGCTTTCCCGGGACCTCAGTTCTGGATGCGTCAACCTCAGACTCAGAGGTCTCAGCGAAAAGCCACTTCGTCCTCGCATTCGTGTGAGTTGTCAACATGGTAGTTGGAGACATCCATGAGTTCTCATTCTCAGCCTGTGTAGATGTCAGCAATTGCATGGCAAAGCACAAGAGCTGAATATGAGTCCTCCCGAGGAGGCGCCACTTCTATCTCCCTGACTCCTGGATACGGTTCCTCCGAGAGCACCCTCTTTCTCCGAGAATGGCGCCCATCCTCTTCGAAGCTTGATAGAAAATAGGCAAAAAAAGAAGCGAGCCTGTCCTTGCTGCCATGTGGTGCCTGCACGGGGTGTCAGGACATGTCGGTTCTTGACATATGATTCTAGGATTGAAATAACCTTACTTTTGCGCTCTGTGGGTGTGAAAAGGCAGATTCGAAGCCTTGGGTGGCCAAGAACGCTTCATCATACCAAGGTCTTTCGAGGCTCTCCCCGGAGCAGCCCCTCTGGGGATCGATGACCCCCTTGCTGAACGTATCCTGCGGGCCGCGCATCTTCCACCCGACGTGCGTGGACGTCAATATGAGCCTCGGCTTTTGGAAGCGGAAGCCACTGGAATCTGGGAGCAATGCTCCTGAGAAGAAGCTGTTGCACTGGACGTCTTGGCTCGTGCTAGGATCCGATTCAGCACCTATGCCCGCGAGATGCAAAATACCATCGTCCACATTGACACTTTTGGGGGCGAAGGCGTCGAAGGGGCACGAATCCAACACTCAGCCATCGAGAGTGAATAGGCTCGGGAGAGAGCGAAGTCATACAAGAAGAGTGGGGCAAGTGGGCAGGTGGAGAAGAGGTCAAGTGTGGCAAGCGGCACCCCATACACGTCCAGAAGATAGAGGTTGTCCAGTTGTGGCGCTGAAGCTTCAACGGCTAGGACGAAAGAAATAACGAACGAACAGCGAAATAGCTAAATGAAGAAATGCATACATAAAGAACTACGCAAGGCCTATAAAGCAGAACACAAATAACGAAATGATAGATGAAGAATGAAGAAGAGGAAATAAAGGAATGAGTTAAGAGAGACATAACGGAAGACATACAGAGACAAAGGAAAAAGGATAGATATTGGCTTCACCACCTTGCCTGCTAGCAGATGAGGAGGAGAGAGAGCCTGGCAGGCACCTGGACAAACTTCGTGTTCAATCTGCCGCTCGCTCGCAGTCTGAAGTCTGCCTATAGGCATCCATCTGGCGCGGCGGTCGAGTGTCTGACAATGCTAGACCTTGAAGCCCAGAATTTCAGAACCATGAAGAGCAGGAGGCGACAGGATGTGGTCCGTCGACTAAGGCATCTATCCGACAGTTTCGATGACACAGGCCAGGTGCCCATGGAGCTTTGTGACCGTCACGGTGGCCGTCACATGAACAGTGGGATGTGTAACCTTGGACCGTGCAACCCGTCCCAAGTCCAAACTATGCCTCGGCTCCCAAAGTCGGATCTCAAACGGCGCCGTACCAAAACCTCAGCCTCCGACCCAACACCTCAAGCCCCACCAGCGTCGCCTGGTTGGGAGGCACAGCGTTCTGGAAGGAGGTTGGGGCAAGCATCTCTGCTCGACCAAGAAGTGGGGAGTCGAAAGGAACGCCGCTGGTCTTATTGGCGGTGCAGTTATGGGGTGACTGTTTGGGGTTTGGGTGTTTAGAGTGACAGGGCTTTGGGTTTTTTGTGTTAGGGATTTCAGGCTTAGGGTCCGGGCCTGCTCTGCAGATGGACTGAGGAGGACATTTCACAGGCAGGTGCGGCGCATGCAGGACAGCTACGCGGGTTTTCCATCGAGTAGTCATGCAAGCAGGCAGCTTACGGATTCGGCTGATACTTGTCGAAGGACATGCTGTCGTATGGACGTGATCAGCTGTTAGCCTGGCGGGAACACGAGAAGCCCCTTGGCAACTGCTTGGCGATGTCAATGTAGTTCTTCTTGTCGGAGATGCCCCTTATGAATCGATGCTTGAGGTTTCCGGGGGTCAATGTCCTCAACGACTCCGATGCTCGGATGCGACATGCTTCGACTAGTTAGTTGGACAGAGCTTTCCACGAGTTTCACCCCCCTTTGGCACACTCCCAGGACCCGACGGGACACCTGAGCCTGGGCCGCATCGATGGCTCCCAGGGAGCGTTGAAAGCTGCTTGAGCTTGCGAGTGTATCTTTTACTAAATGTTTTTTTCAATCGTTGGCGACTTGCAGCCCCCACAAGAGAGGCTACGTTGGTGCCCCACCTCCCTCCCACCCTGTCCCCTCAATCTTTCTTTCTGGGCGCTAGGATTCATCAGTCCTTACCCTAATATATAGCCCTACACCAAAAACGAAAGCAGTCTCCCTTGCAAGCTCTTCGCTTCCTCGCCGTCCTGTCCACCTCCTTTGCTCATGCTAGCTGTCGTCGTAGAGCTGATCCAGCAGGGGTTGCAAAAGGCAGCTGCTGGCCTATGTGCCCTTCCGCCTGAACACTGCTGTGCTGTGGCGTAACTCGGAATGCACAGTTTGTCTCGCAGGCCTTGCTGACGTGTTGGGATGTCACAGACGGTCTCACGCTCCTGCTTACACAGCTTTTGGGTTTCGGGTTTAGGCTTGACAGGGTTGGCCGCGAAACCCTGCGAACTGGAAGGTTCCGACGTCTTTCACAGCCCGGCCTTCGACCCTGCCAGCCACGCACGCCTCAGCAGCGATCCGGCGACGTCGCGGACGCTCCTGCAGGTCTCCGAGCTCAGGGAACCCTGATCTGTCAACGGCCCTAGAAAGCCCCTGAAGCCGAGGGCTGAAGCAGCGTTGTACACATGGGATCGGCAATGTTACGATATCCACCAACGTCATGCCCACAAAGACTAACAAGTCGCGAAACAAAGCGCCCCGAGCCTTAAAGTCAAACCGCGAAGCCTCAAGCTCAAGAGGCCTTCCTGGGCACGCATCCCCTCCGCCAGCGGCCCCTCCACAACTCTGGGGTGGAGTTTCCCAGGAGCTCAAGACTGGGCCTATGCGTAGGGCTTTAGGGGTTTTGGGGCTTCAGGGCTACTTTTTTGGGCTTCCTTGCGCCATCCACGTCAGGTTCGTCGTAGACACACGTCAGCTCCCTAAAATCTGATTCTGAGGAGACCAAAACCCAAAACCCAAAACCCTAAACCCTTCAAAACCCTAAATCCTAAACCCTAAACCCTCGAACAAAAAACCAATTGCGAGGACTGCCAGCAGCCAGCGCCCTTTGACCGAGCCCCCCGAGCCGCCACATCCAAGCCCAAGGCGGGCCGCTCACGAGGCCACGTGCTGAGCTTGCAGGGTTTACATATATAGGGTTTAGGGTTTGGAGTTTAGGGTTCAGGGTTTAGGGTTCAGGGTTTAGGGTCTAAGGTTTAGGGTTCAGGTTTGTCCGTAAGCCCACGAAGCCCAAGTCCAAGTCGACAACGGCAACGGGCACCTCACAGAGACCCCCGCTACTAGCTTTTGAAGGCAGCAGCCCTGGCGGTGCAGCGCCGACAAACTTCTGGAAAGCTGCTGGCCCTCTTGGCGCCTTGGTTAGGAAGCCAGGCTTGTAAGCTCTCTTTCAGGCCTTGAAGAGGAGCTCTGGGCTGTGTATACAGTTGAGGATGCTTTGTCTCTTAAAACTTAAAACTTAAAACTTTTGTAGGACCCGTTTAAGTGCCACAAGAGTGTCTTCCCAACAGTTTTGATTGTCAGGCTGGGCTCCTGGGAGTCTGCTTCCTCCTGTGCCTGGGAAGCCTAAAGCTGGTCCTGGCCTAGGGAGCCAAAAAGCGCGCGAATCTCACGTCCGAGCACGACCTCTGCCAGAGATCCGCAGAGACAGCGGGAGTTTCTGCCTTGGACCGCGCCCTCTACATCCCTCTTCCCTGCAAACTCCCTAAACCCTAAACCCGAAACCCGAAACCCTAAACCCTAGACCCTAAACCCTAAACCCTAAACCTAAGCCCGCACACGCCTCGCCAGAGCTCGTTAGGAGCAAGCAGTGGCGGAGCTGCGGCAAAGTGTGGTCTCAATTCGACGCAGCCTGAGAAGATCTCATCGGGTTCGGGCGGTTAGCGAGGTGGGCTCTAGGCACCCAAATTAGTTGCAGCTCCAAATCCAGTGTTTTGACGTCCAGGAATTCCGAAATCTAAAGCAATGCAGTTTGCTTATATAGTTGCTTGCTTCTGTTGCGGGCGACGTAGCCAATGCTGGCAGCCTTTTGGCAAATTCTGGCTTAAGGAGACGAGTGCAGCCGGTTGCGCTCAGAATGCAGGCGGCTGTCAAGCGAGGCTGGCCAGATCGCTTTTTGGACGTTGGTTCACAAGTAATGCCTATGCATGCAGGTGGTTGCGCGGGACAGTGAGGTGCTGTCGCGCGTGGTCGGGGACTCCGTGTTGACTCATGTCCGCTTAGGGTGGGACTTCCACAACAGCCAAGTCAGTGCTGCGACATCTATCACTCCCTAAAGAAGAGGATGGCAGATCGCACTAATATCAGACAATCCCGCCTGCTCAGTTGCGACAGCTGAACGACATGCGCAGCCTTCTGGACCAGGGTGCCTTGGAGGAGGCTTCTCCGGCCTCCGCATTTGGTTGCAAAGCGGTCTGGCAAGCAAGCTGCACTCTGGCAGGTGGCAGCTTTGCCCGAGCGGGCAAAAGAGGCTGCTGGTACCGGCCTCGGCTTTGGCAAGGATGCTTTTCATGCTTGGAAGAAACACAAGAAGCCAATGAAAGCAGAAGAACGAGCGACACCCTGGATGGCCTGGCACCAGACCACCTCGCAGGCAAAATCATCCCCGCATGTTGTCCGTGCCGAGAGGCCGTCATCTGCCACATCCCAACTTGCACAACCACAGCCCCTCGTAAGTCAGTGGCTAGGACTGCCATCCCAGTTCTAGCACCTAGGCAAAGCTGCAGGAAAAGCAGCCGGGCGAGGCCAAGCAAGCAGCACTCGTCCTTGCACTCAGCATTCCTGGCAGCTGTGGTATACTTGCCCGACAAGCTGCCAATCACGTACCCTTCAAGCCCTGCAAAACCCTTGTAAAGCCAATGGCTCAGGATTGTAGACATTTAGGGCTCAGAACTATCCTCCCCCCGCTGAAAAGCAAGGCCCAGATAACCCCTTGAGTGGCGTCCTCAAGTGTCGCACACTTCAAGAAAACGGGCTCCCAATTTTATGCAGGCACAAGGCTGTAATTAGTGTCTGGGGATTGTACGGCTTGTACCCGCACCTGTCAGATCTATCGTCTAGCGCCCCATGAAAGTTTGGCTCGAGCTCTGAGCCCACGATCCAAACTATCCTATTACATCCATTCCGCGAATCTGGTATCGAAATCATGGCAGCTGAACCGAGCTTGCGTGCCAAGTGTGTGGCCGAGTTTGTTGGCACGTTTTTGCTCATCTTTACCGTGGTATGCAACCTGGCCACCGGCTCTCCCTTGTTCGCAGGCTTCTCCATCGGCACCGTACTCTTTGTGATGATCCAGTCCTTTGGAAAGGTTTCCGGGGGAAACTTCAACCCAGCGGTCTCGGTGGCCTTGGGCTTCACCAAAGCGATGGGCGGCCCGGGCATGGAGTGGAGCCAGGTGCTGATCTACAGCGTGGTTCAGATTGTGGGCGGCATCGCCGCAGCTTTTGCTGCGACCCTGTTGTGCGGCAAGTCCTTTCCGGTGGCCGCCACCTCGGGGTACACGACGCTGTCGGCAGGCGTCTGTGAGTACTTCTACACCTTCATGCTAACTTTCGTGGTGCTGAATGTGGCCGCTGCAAAGAAGAACGCCCAGGAGAACGGCCAGTATTATGGCTTGGCGATTGGCTTCACTGTCATCGCGGGCGCTTACGGGGCAGGCTTTATTTCTGGCGGGTGCTTCAATCCGGCGGTCGCCATTGCGCTGGATGTTACCAGCATTGACAAGGGCTTCGGCATCTCCTTTGTGTACATCTTGTTCGAGATCCTGGCGGCACTCACCTCGGCATTTATCTTCTCGAAGATTCGGCCGGAAGACTTCGAGAAGTCGCCAAGCACGGGAAAGGCAAGCGAGCAGTTGCTGAGCGAGTTCGTTGGCACATTCATGCTGGTCCTCACCGTGGCGTGCAACATCTTCGCCCTCTCCTCGATTGCCGCGCTCTCTATCGCCGCCTCACTGGCCAGCATGATCTATGCCACGGGAGATGTTTCTGGGGGCCACTTCAACCCTGCTGTGAGTCTGGCAGTGTACTTGAGCGGCCGAGACACCCTCTTCACCGAGAGGAAGTGCTTCCTCTACATGCTGGTGCAGACTCTTGCCGGCCTTCTCGCAGCCGTCATCGCGGTGAGCACCTTCTCCACACACTCGACCTTTGGGCCAAAAGCACCCTACAGCTTGGGTCAAGCCCTGATCGCCGAGCTGGTCTTCACCTACGTGCTTACCTTTGTGGTGCTGGCCGTGGCCGTATCTCAGGTGACGAAGTCCACGCAGTTCTTCGGCCTGGCCATTGGCTTCTGCGTGGTGGTTGGTGGCTTTGGCATTGGGGGCATCTCTGGGGGTGCGCTGAATCCGGCGGTGGCCCTGGGCCTTGCAGTTTCAGGTGGCGGCTTGGGCAACGCTTTGGGCTACACGGGCGTCCAGCTCGTGGCCGCCGGTTTGGCCGCCATCACCTTCAAGATCACACACGAAGCAGACTTGGACTCGCCGGAGGCCAAGAGTTTCTCGCCTGCCTAGACCAGCCCAACGCAGAAGACGGTGGCCTCATGGCCCATTTAGTAGATAGACAGATCAGAGAGGTTTGTGCAAATGCCACACTGCTGTCGACAGAGGGATGCTGTGAGGAGAAACAAGGAGACAGCACGTGGCCAGAAAGCATGTTTAGCGGTGAAAGGCTGTCGTGAACAGCAGCAGCTAGCGTCGCTGTCACCGTCATCATCAATGCTCACCGTCATCATCGTCATCGTCATCAGTATCATCGTCATCATCGTCATCATCGTTGCCCCCCGTCCCCCTCCTCCTCCTCCTCCCTCCTCCTGACACGCGACGAAGATTCGAGACGATGAGGGCTTCGAGGACGGGGACACCGAACCTTCCGGTACGCGACGAAGATGCGAGGGTCCAAAATCGACGACAACTGCACGGATGGCGACGCCAACGCCGTGACCCCTGTCAGAGCTGGCACTTTCGACATGCGACGAAGATCAGAGGGTCCCAAAGCGACGGCTGTTTCGAGGATGACCGCTCCGAGCCTCGAAACCTAAGGCTGTTGACATTTTCGGCACTTGACAGAAAGATCCAAGGGTGCGGAAGCGACGACAGCGACACGAGGACGTTGAGCATGACCCCGATGTCCCTCTTGCGATTTCACTTGAGGGTTCTGCAAGACCGGGCCCAGTTACCAAGCCCAAAAGGCCCTAAACATCCCTTCTTCTTCTTATTGTTACTTTCATTACTATATTTTACTATGTTCACTTACTTGTTTTACGTTTATGTACATTATGATGCACATTATTATTGTTATGATTATTATCATCATTTTTGCCATTATTCTTTCGACCCACCAAGCCCCCAACTTCCCCAATTGAGGTGTGAGTCCGGTCCGGGAGCGCGCCCAGGCCATGTGGGTTTGAGGTTCGTCTTAGGGGTTTCAAGGCTAGGGACGGAGAACCGAAGGGAGCTATCCAGGATGTCTAGAGCGCTGTAGGATCACTAGGAATTGGGATGTGCTGTTGAGTTGAAAGACATGCTGTGTGTAGGAACAGACTTTCACGCCCTGAGCTTCAAAAGCCTCGGAGATGTGGTGATGACAAGTGCCAGGCCGGCACCGCAGCTACTCGGAGGAATGGGCCCGCGCCTCAAGTCATGCTCTTCGAAGCTTGGGAAAGGCTTTTCCGTCTCAATTCGATCTGGGGTGCATGGAGTAACTATGACTACGAAGTAATGTTATGACATGGCGCTGTACCTTTCAGATTCATGAAGATGTGTTTGTGTGGTGCGTCTGCTTTTTCATTATTGTTCCAGTAAACAGGGGGGCCATATATGCAGGAATCGACCATGCAGGGATCCTTGTGGCAGACTGACGCACGCTGGAGATGCAAATCCTGTGTCAAGCTGGGGAGGTCCGCGTCAGCACGGCAGCTCACAAGAGGCCGGCCCGCACCCCAAGATAGGGTTTAGGGTTTTGGGTTTCGGGTTTGGGGTTTAGGGTTTGGGTTTTAGGGTTTAGGGTTTAGGGTTTAGGGCCCCAAAAGACCTTGAAGTCCTACAAGCCCTATATAATCCCCGGACGCCAAAACAAGCCTGAGCGAGCAACAGACCCCTGAGCTCTTCTAGCAAATCCGCTTGAATCTATGCTAGGAAGCTGGACAGGTAGGCCTTGGTAGACCCCGGCGTCGCAAGATGCCAGGATGCCAAGGCCGAAAGGTCTTCAAACTAACCCTACATAAGAGCAGTAGCAGTAGCAGTAGCAGTAGCAGTAGCAGCAGCAGCAGTAGCAGTAGTAGTAGTAGTCGTCGTCGTCGTCCTCGTAGTAGTAGTAGTAGTAGTAGTAGTAGTAGTAGTAGTAGTAGTAGTAGTAGTAGTAGTAGTAGTAGTAGTAGTAGTAGTAGTAGTAGTAGTAGTAGTAGTAGTAGTAGTAGTAGTAGTAGTAGTAGTAGTAGTAGTAGTAGTAGTAGTAGTAGTAGTAGTAGTAGTAGTAGTAGTAGTAGTAGTAGTAGTAGTAGTAGTAGTAGTAGTAGTAGTAGTAGTAGTAGTAGTAGTAGTAGTAGTAGTAGTAGTAGTAGTAGTAGTCAGTCGTAGTCGTAGTCGTAGTCGTAGTCGTAGTCGTAGTCGTAGTCGTAGTCGTAGTCGTAGTCGTAGTCGTAGTAGTAGTCGTAGTAGTAGTCGTCGTCGTCGTCATAGTTCCGGTACTCGCACTAGTATGAGGACTACTGCTGGCTCTCCCAGTACTAGTACTAGTATGAGTTAGGGAGCACTTGGAGGTTCATGGTGCCTATTAACTAGCTATAAGTGTACCCATGACCCATTAATGCACCTCCAAGTATGTCCCTAATCTAGTGGGCATTTGGGCTCTTTGGGTCTTTGTCTGGCTTTGGCCAGGTCAAAGTCCAAAGCGACAGGCTTCACCTCCCAAAGCCCAAGCCTTGGAGATTCGGTGTTTTGGGTTTCAGGGTTTCGGGTGTTTCCCCACCTTCGGTGTGGGGTTGTTAGATTTTAGACTCAACTCTGCTCCTCGCCCGGAACTCTTCTCCTCGCCCGGTCTCTCCTAGAGACTCCCTGGAGTGCCCACACTCCCTGGAGTGCCCAACGCCAGCGTCTGCCTGGACTGCCCAAATTCGGAGTCTCCCTGCCGTGCCCAACCGCTGGGTCTCCTGGAGTGCCCGACCCAGGGTTTAGGGTTTAGGGTTTAGGGTTTAAATTTAGGTCACTGGGAAGGGTGGCGTTGGTTCTGAGTGCCCAGGCCACGAGCAGCGCCGCAGGCCTGGGCGCTTGTTTGCTGTATCCCAGCGCGGCGGAGAAGAGGGGTTTAGGGTTTACGGGTCAGGGTATAGGGTTTAGTGGCACTAACGTTCGGGGCTTCTTAAAGCATGTGAGAGGCGGGGGAAGGAGGAGAGATGGGAGAGGGTTGGTAGAGAGCATTCCTTCGGAACATGGCGGCTCCCGCTCCAGGCCTGGATACCTCCAGTGCAGAGGCCCGCACTGCCGAAGCTCCGAGTGTGCCTTACGCGTGCTTTGTTTGGGTGCTAGTAGGCTTTTCCCCGAATCCTATAGCCATGAGTTCCATGCCAAAGAGGGCTTACTCTGTGGGCCCTTGGCCTGTGCAGGCTCCTGCGGAGGTGCTCAACTGGGTGCACTTTGTCAACTTTCCAGGGAAGAAGATTGTTTTCGGTTATGCCCTGTCGGAGCTGGGTCCAGTGGGTTTGTCGGCATTGTTGGTGAGGCGCCAGGAGAGTCAGCCAGGCAAGAAGCACGCATGTCTCTGGCTGCGGCTATTGCATGTTGGTGATGGAATGGAGCCACGGCACCCACCCATGGGTTGGCAACTGCAGCTTTGTGAGCTCATGGGGGGACATTGTCAATTGCCAGGCCCAGGCCTCGTAATATGAGAAAAAGGACAGGCAAAGCAGCAGAACGGATTTCAGCGTAGTTCGAGCCTTAAAGAAAAACGCAGCTGAAGATCCTTGGGGCACCAGTGGGAGCCATGGCGGAGGACCTGGTGCCGGGCTGAGGGGAGGGCCGGGGTGAGCCCAAGCATGCCCAAGCACTAGAGCACCGGAACATCAGAGAGTTCAACTCCTGAACGCTTTTTGCAGAAGACTTGGTAACCAGTTGCAGCCCACATGTCATCCGCTAAAAGCTCGCACAGTTGAAACGCTGAGGAGGGCACAATCGCGGCCAATTCCGCCCTCCGGCAGGAGAATGAGGTGAGCTGCGCTGCTGCTGCACAATGAAGAGAGCTGGAATAGTTGAACCTTTTGATTGCAGGATGTTGCAGGTGAATCGAGCTGCGTCACGTAGAGAAAGGAAGAAGACCAAAAGCATCGAGAAGCAAATAGTATGTCCTTGCTCGATGTCTTCTGAAGTATTCTTGAATCAGCCGTAGCTGCGTGCGTTGTGCTGGACTGCGCCCTGCGGAGCTCCTTTGCCAGGCTCTGGCAAGCCTCATGGAAGAGGCCTGCCCACACAGCACAGCACTTCGATGTGGGTCAAGCTGGGACTTGGTCTATATCTCCCATGAGGGCCATAGAGCCCTAGGGCTTGAGGTTCAGGATGTGCGCAATCTTGTGCCAAATCTGCTCACGGCACACATTCCTCGCTGAAGGGCTTAAGACTACAGGAGCACCATAGAGCACCTGTGTGACCAGCAGGTTCACAGCCTTGCGGAGCAGTGGCAAGAAGTTTGCGCCCGTGCGCCGGGCACCCGGGGCCGGGATTTTGTGGAGTGGCTTGCTACGGGGCTTTGAGATGTCTTTTTCCATGGAAAAGGGCATGAAGAAACAGACGATGTCATCTGAGGAAGTCGCAGGGCAAGGAGAAAGTGGCGCTGGAGCTGCAGGAGTCTCGTTATGGTGCATAGCTGCCTGACGCCGATGCCGTATCGTCGGAGAGTCGTATATCGTCAGGTGTCTTCAAGAAGAAGCCCTAACAAAGTTTGACGAACCAAGCCTCCCCATGAAATGGCGCATTTTGGGCGAATATACGAGCCTCCGCAGGAACTCCGGCGGCAGCGCGGGGCGCTGCAGCAGCGCTTGAAGGCGCTGGAGGGCGGCGCGAGGTGACTTGGCGTGGGGTGTTTTGGCCCTAAAGCCCTGAACCGAGGAACCCGCCAAGCCCTCCTCAATCCCACTTGACAGGTTTGGAGAAGTTCAGGCCCGTAGGGAGGGGAGTAACGCGAGGGAACACAGGCGAAGGATTCTCAAGCCTAAAACTCCGAACACCTAAACCCAGCTGAGGCCCTGCCCTAACACGCCCATGAAAGCTCTGGAATCCTGCCAGACCCGTGGAACCGCCCACCGAAGAGCCCATTGTGGAGAAGCCGGCCGAGCAGCCTGTGGACGACAGGGTTGATGGCTCAGAGCGACGGTTTAGGGGTTTAGGGCTCAGGGTCATAGGGGCTTCGGGGTTTGCTTGGAAGGGGTTTTGGTTTTTCAGGGCCAGAGCTGAGGGTTTGGGGCTTAGGGTTTGCCTGCCATCCTAGCTGTGCGAAGACGTGGAGCTCGCCATGCAGCACGAAGCACCCCAAGCCCCTAGCATGGCCTCTGTGCCGCAAGTCCCTGGCCCGAAGTTGGCAGCTCCTCAGCGGGTTTTGCTCGCCATGAGGCACAAAAAGCCAAGCTGGACGAGTTGAACGAGGATGGGTGTTTTGCTCTTTGGTTTCCTGAGCTCCCGACCTCTTCTCATGACAGGAGTCGCAGGTCCTTCGGTCACAGAATCGGGAGCTGAAAGAGGCCCTCTGCCCTTTGTCCGGGCTGAGCGGAGGCATGCTTAGACCCCAGAAACAGACCCCCATAATGGAGTTAACGCCTTGGGGATGAAAGGGTTATATATAGGAGCAGAGGGGAAGGGACATGTGAGTAGGCTGGTAGCGCATGCATGACGATGTCCTCGAGCCCCTCACATGCGGTTCCAAGATAAAAGAGATAAAAGGCGTGAATGCAATGAGCACGAAAATAATTATCAATATGATCACGCACAGCGCACAAAGAATACTGTAAATGCGTTCGCGTCTTTCTGGCGTTCAGAGTCTTCCAATGTGAGTGCCAGTTGGTTGGAAGGTTGAGCTTCCATGTTCGAACCCTGAGCCTTAAACAGCGTAGGCTTTGAAGTGTTTACGGGTTAATTGAGGGTTATTGAGGGTTAAATCTACAAGACCCGAGCCCCAGACCACCCCGACAACCTCACCCATTCAAAGCAGCAAAAGCCCTGAAAGCCCGAAGAGCTCCTCCCAAAGCGCGCAAAATGCCCCAAAGTCTATCGTCTCCAGCTTGGCGACCAAATAAATGTAAATGTGGTCCTTAAGATGGGGATCATACACCCTATACACCTTGTGTAGCCTATACTACTACCATGTCTATTCAGGTCTAAAGGGCCGCAAGGCCCTTTCCCGTAGCCTCACAGGCCGTCGCTCAGGCTCGTGGGGCGATCCGGCGGAGGATCGCCGGGTCCCAAGCCGACCGGAGCGCTTAGAGGGAGTTTGGCGCATGTCGCGGGCGGTTGAAACGGTTTGAAACGGCTGAGGGTTGAAGAGCTTTTTTCGGACTGATTAGGCCATGAGGCAGAAGAGGCAGAAGAGGGTTTCGGGGAAGGATTGGGGATTTGAAGGGATCGAAGCAGGAGCCTGACCAAACATGGCGCACACTTCATCAGCACCGAAGCAACAACGAAGGACAACGACGAACCACGATGGCAAAGGGTTGCGGACCAGGAGTCCGATGAGTAGGGAAGCTTCGCCAGGATGATGCGACAGTTGGTGTGTAGTGGGTGCTCAGCAGCTGGGTGTAAACTGGGAGACCGAGCCTCAGGTGCCGAGTCTTCAGGTTTTGAGGGTTCGATTTGGGGCGTATGGTCTGCGGGGTCAAAAAAAGCCGCTCCAACCTTCCCCAAACCCCTGAACGCCTGAAGACTCGGCACCTGAGGCTCGGCACTCGGCTGAGAACAACGCGCTTGTCTTCGACAATGAGGCCAGAACGAGTGGTGGGTCTACGTCAGGCTTCATCGCAGCAGTTTGTAAAGCGTCTGTCAATGCGGCGGCCATGCAATAATGCAATCAGATTTTAACACAAAAGCCGCAAGACGTCTCACGAGATAACGGTGGCCCTGCGCAGGCCCTAAGCGAGCTTGTGCAGGAGGCGCGGTGAGGGGACGGCAGTCTACAGGGTTCAAAGTTGGTTTTCGGCACCCAGACCCTTGTCACTGTGTGGCTGTTGGGTACCACGTTACAGTCTCGACTGCTGTGCTGGGTGCTAATTTGGGTTCCTCTTTTGCTTAGTCAACGAATCCGAATCATCCATCGTTTTTGGGACGGTTGAAATGTATGTGTGCACAGGCAGTGGCTAGTGGCCACTCATGAGCACGTAATCACAAAGGGCAACCTTGAGTCCAAGTTCCTCAGCCCTGAAGCCATCACCCCCCAAAGTAGCAGAAAACGACCCTTGGCCCATGTGGCCCTATTATAGCCCTTTATCAAGGACCGTTAGTACAAGGGGGAGCATCCCAACCCTTGGCCCATTTCCCACACTCTCAAAGTAAACTATCTGTTTACTTAACAATCATAATAACAATAACAATAATCAAAATAGTAGCAATTTTCTTAATAATAATGATACTAATAATAATAATCAGACTAATAATGATGATGATGATGGCGATGATGATGATGATGATAATGCTGATGATGCTCCCTTGATAGGTTCAGGATCTGGCCGAGCGCTGGCAGAGGGCTTGGAGCCGCGTGGCAGAGTCTCAGCCTCGATGAAATGAGAGAGCGAAAAGAGGGATTCGGGTTTAGGGTTTAGGGTTTAGGGTTTAGGGTTTAGGGTTTAGGGTTTAGGGTTTAGGGTTTAGGGTTTAGGGTTTAGGGTACATTGCAGGTAGAGCTGCAGCAGGAGGCTGGCGAACAAAGTCTTGATGCAGCCGCCTTGTCGCTCAGGTCTACCGGCAGTGATCGCAGACCCAGCATCGACGCCGAAGTCGAGGTGTGCAAACTTCTGAAAATCCAAACTCTAATAATAAATAATAATCATAATCATAATAAAAATCATAGTAATAATAATAATGAAAATAGTACTAATACTAATAATAATAATGAGTCGAGGCCCCTCAACGAAGCCCGGGACTAGAATCAGTTAGCAATGACCATTTCCATTTTCTAATCATGCACCACCCCCTAGCACCCAAACCATAACAACCTATACCTCAACCCTAACTTCACCAAAATACCCATAGTAAGACCCACAAGATGGAACCACCAGAAGAAACCATACACCACCACATAGAAAAACCCCAACCTCAACTCCATACACCCGCATTCCCATAGAAAACCCCATATTCCCCAACCCATATTCCCTAACCCTTGAAAATGGAACTGGTAGTCTCTAATAGCAGTCAGGGTGGAATTAGTGTGAAGGTTTTGGGCTTCAGGTGGTTTCCAAGGCAAATACGCAAACGATTAAACGAACAATTTCCTAATAAATTTGTTGATGATGAACCACATCCAGAACCCGAGAAACCTAAACCCGATATTGATAAAGCATTCAATCACGTCCATCAGTTGCTAATGAATGATGAGTTTCTAGAAGACTATTTTATGCTATTCGGTAAGCATAAGGATAGGATAATTATTGAAATTCCTGTTGATAAGTCATAAGTATAATGTAGTTATAACCCTTGGGTTGTTATAGATCATAACAAAATTATGGTTATTTACTATCAGGTGCGTCGCGCGCTCAGTGACGCTTCGGCAGAAGCCTCGCGATCATTTGCAACTACCTTTTACCTAAACATTATTCCTATTATTCTAAAACTATTTAAGATGACCATTTCCATTTTCTAGGGTTAGGGATTTCGGGTTGGGGGTTGTGGTTTTTCTATGGGGGTGTTGGTGTATGATGCTGAGGTTGGGTTTTTTCTATGTGGTGGTGTATGGTTTCTTCTGGTGGTTCCATCTTGTGGGTCTTCCTATGGGTATTTTGGTGAGGTTAGGGTTGAGGTATAGGTTGTTATGGTTTGGGTGCTAGGGGGTGGTGCATGATTAGAAAATGGAAATGGTCATTGCTAACTGAATCTACGCACCGGAAGGAGCTTCGGTCTCTCCGGAACCACGTGCACGGCCGGCTGCTGCAACTGGAGCCCAGGTCGGGCCTCAGTTTCATGCAGAGCCTCGCGGAAGATGGCACAGTGGGCGTTGTCGGCGGGGTCAAGAAGGGTTTGTGCTACTGCGTCTGGAAATCCTGCGATCGAGCAGTGGCGAGGTCTGTTGAAACTTTGACTGCCCGCATGGATCTAGCTTTAATTCAAAATCTTCCTGTCCGGGAACGTGCCGAAAACACACTGTTCAGCGAAGCTTGCTGCTCCTCCTACTCCCATCGCTACCGCTCCTACTCGTACCTACTCCTGTTGCTGGTGCTGTCGAGCCCGTGCATTTGGGTAGAGCCGGGTGGAAGGTCGTTTTTTTTGGAAAGGTCGACTCTTGCACCTCCCATTCCAGGATTCTAGGGCTTTGCAGTTGGGCTCAGTAAGGGCTTTCGCGTGATGTTTGGGACTCAGACTGTCAAGGTCAAGGGCAGGGCATAGCCAGTAGAACTCATAGCGGCAGGCCAACCGAAGAATGATTTTGCAACAGCCTCCATCGACCAGGGCCTGCAGCCACCCTCACGCGTCCCAAGTCTATGCTAGATCCCAAGCTCTACGCCCACAGGCCCAGCCGCATGTTGCCGGGTTGTGCCCGGCCCTTGGAAGGGTGCCGAGTCGCCGAGGTTATTATCCGGAGTTTCAGGGAGGTGATTAGGGATTTGCCGGCTTTATGTCAGGGGCACAATTATGAAGCTATGAACAAAATGTCCTGCTTCGGAATGTGTATGGTTTCATTTCACCGAAGGGGCAAGGGGCTGAGTCCTGGATGAGGCTTCCGCCGGTTGCGATGGGTGGGCTCGGCCAAAGTCGACCGATGCAAGAGCCCTTCTTGGCAGTCCTTCCGGAAACCCCGGTTGTATGTTTACATTATTTCCCTGTTAGAGTTTTCTAATATTGCATTGATGTTTATTAATTCTTGCATGATACGATGTCTTCAGTATATTCTTTCTTACACAGCATTCCAAAGAGCCGCTTGTGGTGAGGGGCCATGCGCAACCCGGGTCTTGACACAGCTGCTTCCAAAGAATGATCGGCTGATGCCAAGCTTTGAGTTCATACAAATAAATAAGAAAATGTATATACATATGACTACATTACCATTTTACTTCCTATATTTCCGAATGATATACTTGTAGCAAATGCCATGCTCTTTGAGGCCCTGACTTCACCTGCAGAATCGCGTTCCCCGAGCATTTGCTCGCCGATGGCTGCACCGGTTGGTTCGTGAGGACGTTTGCAGATGAGCAAAGCGTGGCTCATAGCATCACGGCTATTTTCAGGGCCGCAAGGGACCGCAACCGGTCCCCCATAGCCCCTGCGCGTGATTTGCTCCCAGAGGTCGTGATTCTCGTGCAAATGGTGTAGCACGTTACTTTAGCACCTCTTGATCCTCTTGCAATTGCTTCAATGATGACCGCAGCTTGTTTGGGGTGCTCCTCTCCTCACTCTCCTCCTGCTCGCTCGGGCTCAAGTCCCCAGGATTCTTTCACTTTGGCTATGGAGCCATCGTCGCAGCTTCCCGATTTTCAATTTTCACGGCGGAGGGCAAGTTTGCAAACGCACCTGCCTTGGCTCTTTCATTCCGTCCTGCCGGGGAAGCTACAACGCCGCACCCATTGAGAAAGGGGATCCCGAAATAGGTCCGAGGGGGGGGGGGGGGGGTTGAGCTTATGATTCTTATGAGTATTCTCATTGTTCTGATCTTAAATCTTAAATGCCGATCAAGATCTTAGCGCCGGCTAGCCCCGGCTCAGCTGCCACTCCACCAAAGTGGAGATGCATGGTGCCCTGGCGAGCCAACCTCAGATGCCCACGTGCCAAAGGCAACCTGGCATCAGGATCTCGCACATGCCAAGATCTGCCAAAACAGGTTGAAGAGCGGCCCCGAGTGTTGAGGAGTTGTGTCCCGTAGGGTTCGGGGCTTTTAGGTTGAAGCCCTGGAATCCGGACCCAAAATTCGGTTTGGGGGGCATGCAGGTGCCAATGCTGCCCCTGCCGAGCCGCGAGCAGCCCGCCTCGGAATTCCCAGCCGGCAGTTCTCGGAATCTGCTGCTCAGCTAGCTGACAGCGCAAAAGCAAGCAGCTCACCCCCAAAAACATCCTGAAACCCAAACCTGATTCTAAACAACCTTAGCCGGTAACCTGCTGTGACCTGGGCCTCAAAAACTCCCACCCCGACGCCAGCCAGCCCAAAGGAAAGTAAACACCAACCTGGGCTCCTCCGAGGCAGCAGCTGGCCAATGTTGGGACCGCGGAAACCCATGGCTTCCTTTTGAGGGTTTAGGGTTTAGGGCTTGTAGGGTCAGTAATTAAGTCATACTGCTAAGGCATGTCCGCGGGTTTTGGGTCCACCTTGAACCGACCGAGGTTAGCACTCCACACCCCAACCTTTCCATCCTTCCCTAGGCTGTGTCTTCCTGTCCAGTCTGCTAGCTGGTGCCTCGCGCGCGCCCAGATGGTGTCTCAAGCACCAAGTTTTGGTAGGGCGAAAGGCAGCATGTCTCTTCCAGGCGCTAGGACCGCTAGGACTGATATCACGACGGAGCGCAAAGCTTCTTCAAGTCAGACACAACTTAGGAGAGTCACAGTCATCACCCGCATGCAGACACTAACTTCCACAGCCAATCACTTCCCTGAGCCCGCAGCGTGACAGGGAGCTGCCAGCGGCCAAGAAACTGCTCCAGTCGCCAGTTCTGCTCTGCAAAGTTGTTGGATCAGTTTGGTTTCAGTTTGAGGTAGAAGCCATGCGGGGGCCACAGCCGCAGCCAGTGCCAAACTCCTTCTCCTCACAGACGCAGTCGCTGGCCAAGCGGGCATCTGCGTCTGTATGCTCATGTCGCGGAAATGGGTACTGTAGGCCTAGGGAGGAGGGCATTCGTAGACGAGAGAGCCGTGTGCTGTGCTGGGCGACGCCTTCATTCAGAGAGCAGTATCTGGCTCAATGCCACAGATAGAATCAGATAGAAGCAACCCGCTATCCTTCACTGTCCGTCACTATAAGACTATCCTCAACATTATGGCCCGCTGCAGCCAAAAGCCTGCACAGATTGCGACTGAAGCATGAGCCTTGCAGAGGGGAAGCCATCGCAGCACCAAGACATCCGTGAGCACATGACCAGCTGAGCTCCTTGAAACCATCTACGGGCACGTGCTGTGCCTTCGCGCCGATGGCGACCATGGAGGACGGAGGCCGGGACAGAGACCCTTGGCAGTGGCAGCGTCTGCAAACAGAGGATCCTGCTGTCAGGTGTGCGAATAATCCACCCTCCTCCCCCTGGGCCAGGTTGGTATGCAGTGACACGGCCGATGTCGAGCCCCGAGGTGGCTCGGGTATTGCTGGCACGAGAAAATGTGGGAAGCGTGCGGGTTTGAATCGCCTTTTGCCAGGCATCGAACCATCTGACTCAGCCCTCGAAGCCCGAGCATCATGTGCATGGGTATTCCCCAGAAATAGGGGTGCATCTGGTATAATTACCCTCAACCCCCAAGATACTATGATCCTAGTTGTTCGAGCCCTCAAAAAAGGGGTGCAACCCTATATTCGGACCCCCCCCCCCCCAGAATGTTCTTTCGCAGCCCAATGAGAATGGAAGGCTCCACAGCTCGCCAGCCTCTATGCATCCCGGCCCTCGACAAGGCAGTTCATGAGAGAGGAATACCGTGACTTGGCAACCACAAGAAATCACAAGAACTGTGACCCCCAAACCGAAAGCCTATGGGCTGCTGCAGCAAACCCTGCGAAGCCTGAATCCGCCTCTGCAGATCTCCTCCGCCCTTGCTTCCGGATCTGCATGTCCGGAGTACTAGCTTTCGTCCGCCCTTCTCTCAGGTTTTAGGCCATGGTTCTCGGGCAGGATCTGGAAGTTGATTTCATGGTTCCGGGGCGGTTCTTGGTTAAACAGCAAGCTCAAGCATTCAGGACTATCGCAGGCGCAAGTGCAGCTCCTAAACCGTCCCTTTGTTTTACATCCGGCATACAGAGTGTGGGCCAAGGTGAGTCGTATCCTTTCCGGACTTCAGCGGATGCAAGGCCGATTGCTGGATTGGAGGTTTGTATGGTTTAGGGTCATGAATCAAGCAGCCTTCCAGCCTTCGGACGCAGTCTTCTGCAGTTTTCAGTTCAAGGTGAGAAGTTCCCGCGAGTAGTGGCGCAGCTTCCCACAATAGAAGCGTGGTCGGATGTCCAGACGAAAAGCGCCTTTCAAGCCCCAAAAGACGGCTGCGCAGCGGCGCCAAAGGCAAATTGCATCCCAAGCCCTGTCACTCGATCGACATCTACAGAACGACACTCAGTTGAGAAGTGGTGATGCGCAATCTGCTGATCAGGTATGAGCTCAGACGGCAAAAGATTCCAACAGCGGACTTCATGCGCATGTTCGAGGCACAGCTGCCGCTGCGTAGCCTTGATCGATGGCTTATGCATTTGTGCTGTGGATCATGAGCCGTGGCAACTTCTCTTTGGCCATGCGCTGAGAAAGTTTCTCAGCTGGGTTTTATCGACCTCGAAGTTGATATTTCATGATGTATCAGAGTATGTGCGTTAATTCAGCCCAGCGGGAAAATGCTAAAGGAGCAGCGGTGTGGACTTCACGCATCTCGAAGGTACGTTGACAAATCATCCCCCTCTTTTCCTAAATGAATCTGGGCGGGGCGGTTGGGCGGTATTTCCTATTAGCGGTGTTCATTTATGGGGGGGCGGGAATAAATTAAAAAATCTACCTGCCAACCCCCCAACACAAGATGGTTTGCAGAGTGTTTGCACTGTCCAGCATGCAGACCATCAAGATTTCAGAAATGTGCTTTGGGGGGGTCATAAACGCAAATTTGCATTTTTGACCCCCCCACACCCGAAAAAGTGGGAAATGACAAATCCAAATACAGGACCCAAGCTCGTCTGGCATCAAAGCACTCCGATTGCAAGATGCCCTCATTTGAGATCATTTGAGGAGGCTCTGAGCCTCAGCTTCCCACCTTAAGCACCACGTCCAGGCGCCGCTCAGAGACTCCCGGCTCTACGACCTTCGCGTGCCGCTTGCCTCCATGGGCCTTCGACCAGTGTACTTGGAGGTTCATGGTACTTCGTAACCAATTATAACTGTACTTATAACCCAAATTATAACTCTATTCGGGCACTTAAGGGGCTTACAAATACAGTTATAAGTACGGTTATAATTGGCTAATGAGTACCATGAACCTTCAAGTAGGCTTTAGGTTGTGCGGGGTCTGAGTAGGAGAGGTTGGTGCATGTAACGAAAGAAGGGCTCAATGCTCTTTTGATTTGTGCCTGGCTTGCATCATTATTCCCCCTCGGTATGCTTGCCAGGCGAAGCGTGCTTCAGAAGAGCAGACAAGTGTGCTTGTACCGGTGAGCAGAAGTTGTTTAAAAGCAGCAGATTCCTGAGTGTCATCACGCAGGTGGTAGACCGTCTCTTTATCCCTGCTTTCTGTGGACAATGCATGCAGTGGCTGCGGTTGCCGGATCGTCTACTTGCGCTTGTTCTTGCAGCTGCTTCTGTTTCCCCTGGCTGAGATTCACCGTGGGCAGGGGCAAGTGAGCACTAGACTCTACCAGGGATGGGTTCAAGTCACATCTTCTTGGTTAAAAGTCGCCTTCGAGGAGCGCAACACTGGGGGACCAGCCAGATTCCTTATATAAGTTTGATCTGCAAGTTATGCCCTGAGAAGCACTTCTTGACTGATGGATGATGATGGGGATCTGCTGGTTGTCCATATGTGTGAGTTCTCGCTTGACAGGCGTGTGCCTGCAACGCAGGGGCCAGCGTATGCCAAATCTTGACTCAGCAGGGTTCCCGTTCATGGAAGATTTGTTGGTTACGAATGGATGAGGGTGATGGTGATGGGGCTTTGTTGTTGTCCGATTTTTTTGTGTGTGTGTGAGAGAAATAGAGTGTGTGTGTGAGAGAGAGTGTGTGTGTGTGTGTTTTTTTTTGTTTGTGTGTTCTCGTTTCGCCGGCGCGTGACCATGGCCCGCAGTGTGCAGATAGGGAGTTTTCTTGCCAAAGAAGGGGGCTGTGATAGACCGCCGCCAAAACATAAACAGGCCTTGCCGACATGTTGCCGGTGAGGGGCGTGACATTGAGGATTCGTTCAACATGGTGTCACCCGCAGTGATGTGAACTAGCCGTGGGTCCCTGTACGTCTTTTCTGGGAGTCCGGACTTGGCAAGCATTGCTGCGACCGAGGCACCATGGCGCCACGGTCCGGGCACGAACTGCGAAGGCCCCTGCAATCATGCCAAGTGCCAGCATTCCTTTGCTGATGCTTGGACGCCCCTCTGGCCGCTAGGCGGCTGAAACTGCTGCGCTGGAGCGCCAGCAGGCTGGAGACCATCCTGCTTGTGCAAGGGTTCGTCGAAAGGCTGGCAAACACCATGTGAAGTAGGAAGCTTCGCCCAGGTTTGCGGACAGGGACGTAGCCTCACGAAAGAGTCAGCTAGGCACCAACCTAAACAAGCACAGAGCTCCCCTTGCAAAGGTTCAGTTTATTAAACCGCACAAGTTGTAAAAGAAATGAGCCAATTTCCACGCGTCACCAAGCCATCCCAAACTAGGGCTCAAGGGAGCCTTGGTCGACCCACGCCGCACGAAGGACGGGATCCGCAACCTCTCTGACCCTGAATGAGCTGAACACTGTAAGCTTGAAGCCCTCAGCCCTAGATCCCGCATTCCCCCCAATCCTGAAAAGGCAAAGTAAGCCCCAAACCCCCAAACTTACCATCCGAAGCCCGTGTAAGCCCTAAGCCCCAAAGCTAAACACGCCCTTAACTCGAGAGGCTGAATCGGCGTCACGACGAGGCCGACGAGCTCGCGAGCCGCTCCGCGCGATCACTTGAGGGTCGGGTTTAGGGATGGTTTTGGGGGTTGCAGGGCTTGGATCACGGCCTTTTGGTGTCCTCAGCCATGCCCTGAGGGTGTGTTTTAAGAGGTTTGGGGGATTTTGGGGGCATGTTAGGGCCCATTCAGGGGCTTCAAACTCTTGAGTTTAGGGGTTCAAGGGTTTGTTCCCAGCAAGGAGGGGCTCCGTGACAAGCGCACGAGGGAGCACCACCGAGTTGCTCAGGCTGACGTCCGCGGAGCAGATGCGCCAGCTTTGCGACGTCATGCGCTTCTGGGTTGCAAGCGTTTTGGGGAGCTTGGGGTTGCACAACAAGGTTCAACAAGGACGCTTTCGGCCTTTCGGTTCCGGTCGACTGCACGGCGGTTCAAGGCGAGGCCGACTTGAGCCAACAAGATGCCCGTGAAAGCCTCCAGGGTGATGCTAATGATTGCTAATTTGCTTCGGCTCAAGGCTCGTTTTGGGTGTTCGGCTGTCAGTGCTGCGGCGGCTGCAGCCGCTAGCGGGGCACTCGCAATGGGGAAAGCTGCGCTCATGTCAAAGATTCTTGGAGACGTGCTCTTCAACCTTTGCACCGGCCATTACGAGAAGGGCAAGCCTACCAACGAGGCAAGGACCGCGGCACGGAAGAAGAACTGCATGGAGTGTATCGACAAAGTGCTTGAAGCAGTGGTGGGTCCCGGGGACCTCCTGTCCTCGGACGTGCGAGCCGAGTTTGCTGCCGAAGCCTATGCAGCCTGGGGCTCTTGCAAGGGATGCCTCGCTGCCAAGCAAGCAAAGTTGCCGCCGAAGGGCACCGATTTTGCCAAGTACAACCTGGAGATCGAGCATGAGTTCACAACCACCGGCCCCTTCAGAGACTTGGCACATGGAATCGTGAATCGCCAGCAGAAGCTGGACGAGGGCTTCTTCCACACTTTTGTGGAGCGCCTGAGGCAGGCTTTTGGCAGTGACTCCAGCCTGGGAGACGACGACTTCCAAGCCATGGCCATCGAGCTCAACACGATTCTTTGTCATAGTTGGGTAACATTTTGCATTTTTAAGGGCACTTAAACCCAGTAAGGAATATATATTTAAATTTTTAATAGTATCCCAACAATGAACAAGGATTGCGGCCCTCTGCGCGGGGGTGCGTGCCTTCTGTGCTGCCAGCGGCTACGAGGTGCCTCCACTACCCTCCAAACCAAATCCGTGCCAGCCTTCTCGCTTCCAGCGAGTGTCGGATTACTCCACAGGCCCCCTGAGAATGGACAAAACCATTGCTTGGGTCCCAACGCTTCCTACATCACAGCTCCGAAAAGATGTTTTGCAGAGCTTCAACATCGACTGGTTCGTGTGGTCTTTTGCAGGGAACAACCCGGGGGGCCCCACCTCCAAAGCCAGCGCCGCCCCCCTCACATGCTGGGAGTTTATGAAGTTCATGGATGTCATGTATGTGCCGGTCCAGGATGCCCCACGATTCCTCAAGGTTCCGGGCCAGGATCGGACACTGAACAGGGGACAGCTGGAGGTGGCGGCCGCTGACTACACCACTGGCAAGGCCTGCAACTTCTGATCCAAAGCTCACGTCAGCATGGCTGACGTATCTGAAACTGCACTTCTGGGTGGTCATCATCCTCTGCATGACGAGATTGGGGCCTTGGCCTTCGCTGTGGCTTCGCCAGAGAACATGGACGAGATTCGTGCGGCACGGAAGGCATTGCTTGCACAGAGCAACGAGCATGTGCTGCTTGATGTAGCCGGCATCATTGCCTTCTTCGCAACGATCACCACGGTCGTGGACTTTGGGGGTCACTTCTCGCCAGGGCTCATCAATACGCTCAACAAGATCGCAAAGGTTATTTCCGGCGCACGCGTGGCGCGCCAGAGAGTCAGGCGTGTGATGTGCTGCAGCTCAGTGTAAGTTTTAGTTACAGCAGCGGCCAGTTTTTTGCAAACTCAACAGCCCGAAGAAATGCGATCCTGGCTCTTTGCTCCCGCAAGTGACGCGGTATGCTGCGCTTGCTGCAGCATGCCGCTGATGTGCGGGGTCTTCTGGGCTTGGCTAGTCGCGCAGAACAGTAGTACTGACTGATAGTGACGGATGATAATCAGCTGTTGATTCTCGCAGAAGACACGTCTCGGCCGCTTTGGTTTGACAGCCCAGCAAAGCACGAATTTGGCCTCCGTGACTGCGGGTTTGCCCCCGAAATGAGGTGAGCGGGCCCACGTCGTGGGAGGCACGGGTGTGGTCGGACCCTCCCTGTGCACAAGGCCCGGGCTTGCCCCCAAAAGGAGGTGGGCAGGTCTGGTGTCTTTGGAAGGCTCGAACATGGTTCGCAGCGGAGTTGCGGTGCTACCTGGCTGTGGCTCACGCATTCCGGTGCATGTGCCTGCCATTGCTGCACTCCTCTGCGGACCGATTTCGTTGTATAGACCAGTTTTGTGAGCCTAGGCAGCTGGAGGCACACAGACCACCAAAATTGCGTGTTGAGCTCAACCTTGGACATGCCCTTTCAAACCTCATGATAATTCCTCCCAAGAAAGCCCTTTTGCCGTGCAAACCCCAAGGCTCAATGCAGCGTGGCCCGCGCGCGGCGGCTCGGGCAATATCACTGGTGCTGCAACTTAAGTCTCAGTTGTGGGACCAGCTGCTGCAAAGCTCTTCGAACGACAAGCCTGTGCATGCCCTGCATCCGCCAAAGCAGCCGAAAGTGCCTACCTGCTAGATGCCACCTTGCCAAGGAAAGCAAGGAAGCCAGGCAAAAGCGGCTTCTGCCACATGGCTTCTCCATGGGCAATCTGAGTTTCTACCAGGAGACAATGGTTTAGGGTTTAGGGTTTAGGGCCAGGGTTTCGGGTTTAGGGTTTAGGGATTAGGGATGGGTCGGTTAGGATTCTCTCTTGCTGCTGCCGATGCCAGCTTGGGTTCCGCACCTTGCTTCTCACTTCGAGACTCCGCAAAGCGCCCACAAAAAGCATAGCAAAGTGTTTAGCAGTGTAGCATTTCGGAAAGGCAGTCGAGTTGCCTCATAGGGGGTGTCTGCACTAGGAATCCCTTATGTGTCTTTTCTTGAGAAACATCGCGCGAGGCTCTCTCATGAAGGATATTCCCTCTTACAACTGACAGATCTTCCGACTCTGAACCTAAATCCGAGCCCTGCAATGTCCTGCACAAGCGTTCCACCATGGAGGATAGGGCGGGTAAGAATCTTCCCGGAGGACGACTCACGACCATGAGCGACACACCCGCTGAGCTCATGGTGGCGAGACCGCCACTGTGCATGAACTCAAGTGTCAGGTTATGGAGTTTTGGGCCGTGCTCTGTTGTGACCCGTCCGGCGACGGCTGTTGCAGTTGCGAGCGTGCATGTCACTACGTTCCGTTGGCAGTGGTAGAAGTGATCGCTCTCCAAGGATTGGTGAACTCGGGGACCTCAACACGCGACACGTGTAACGCTGGGAAAGCCATGAAAGATACCGGGACTGCTTTCCCACACAGAAGCTCACAGGAGCGCAAGCATGTGTGCAAATAGTCCGTTTTCTCTCTGCGATGTCAGATGCTTGCTGCGTAGAAACTATACGGCCTGCGTCGGCCACGGACGTGATGCTCGTGACAGTGATCCCTGCGTCCCATCCTGAAGCCACCCAGAAACATACAGCTCTTGACCAAAGCAGCGAGCCTCCGACGACCTCTGCAGAACCATCCTTGGTCCCAGGCATTGAACAGAGTCCATCTTCAGAGAAGGTGATAGAGGGCCCTAAACCCGTAAACAAGGTTCAAAGGTTCGGTTTAAAACCCTAAACCCTAAACTCTAAACCCTAGACCCTAAGTTACGGTTCAAGGGGTGTACGTGGAGAAGCCGGGATCCCAGGATGCGCGCCTCATCGCGCCTCCTGATGTCACCTCGTTGCCAAGAGAGTGGTGCCTTCCGCAAAGCGGACCAGTGTGCCAGACGATGTCAAAACAGTTTGGGAGGTTCCCTGAACCCTAAACCCTGAACCCTAAACCCTAAACCCTAAAAACCCAAAAAACCCTAAACCCTAAAAACCCTAAAACCTTAAACCCTAAAACCCTAAACCCTGGTAGTTGGGGGACAGAAGCCTCAGCCCTGCCAAGGTTCAACCGAAAAGCCTTCGCGTGGGGCAATCCGGATGCCCAGCAGAGGCCGCGAAGATTGCTGAAAGGGGCGTGAGGGCTGGGACTTGAGATTCTGCAGTTTAGTTTTTTTGGGGCTCAGGATGTGGGGTCTCCTAAAAGTTAGCACCTCAGCCCTCAAGACCGTCATTCCCCTCCCCCTAAACCCTGCAAAACCACATTACCCTCCCCAGCTCCCCGAAGCCGAACTCCACAACCCCCTCTGGTAAGCCCCTAAGCCAAACTGAGTGGCTTCTTCCCCTGCTGCTCCGCCTCAAGGCAAGACGCCAAGAATGGCCAGAATGGACAGGAGGAGAGTCAGAACCGCACCTATGAGGTCCGGGTTTCAAGGTTCAGGGAACTCACATTTCGTGTTGAGGGAATGTGGAGACCCTTCAGAACCCCGAAGTTTCGTGTAGAGTCTCGAGGGAATTTGGAGACCCTTCAGAGCCCCTCTAGAGGGGCGTTTCGAGGCTGTTGGGGTGGAGGTGGATTGGTTGCAAAAAAATAGAAAAAAGTGCGCCTCAACATTGGTTCTCAGCGCTGCGATTCTGCACGGTTGGCCTTCAGTTTGTCTACTATTTCAGAGTAGACTTTTTCTCAAAGAGCACCGGAGCACCTGTGGCATGCGTGCAATGGCGCTCTCCGCTGAAGCTTTCCTTTTCGAGCCGGAAACCCCAGTGGTGCTTGCAGCTCCTGCGACAAAGGAGCTCGCTAAGCCACCGATCCTCGCTATTGAGGACGAAAAAAAGTTTGCTGGGAGATCGTGGTCATGCGCATCACGGAGGGGTGAGAAAGTTGAAACAGCCACCCGCAGAAATGCTCAAGGCAGATAGGCACCTGCCGGGGTCTGCCAATGCGGCTTGCGCATCCGGATGGGTTCTCCGTAACCTTTCGCTGAGCCGGCTTGCAGTGAACTTGTTCTAGACGCCTGTCGGCTGGAAGCCGAGGCGAAGTACTGAAAGAACAAATGAAGAATCACGCTTGAGCCATCTAGACCCTGAACCCGTGGAAGATGATGGGTTGTTTGGGGGGGGGGGGGGGGGGGGGGGGAACTGCAGTTTAATCGGGCAGCGTTTTTCTGGACTTCGGATCCTTGCTTGAACATGCCTAAGCTTTGTTGTGCGCCTGGTGGTCCCTCGATGCGCGAGGTCATTGCGAAGACAGGCACCGTAAAAGCTGAGCCGCACATGGATGCCAAGCTGAAGACCAAGAAGCAGTGCCCTGAGCAACATGGACTTTTTGGGTCAGGGGCTCTGCTCGGCCACTACTCGGGGACATGGTTTGTGCCTTCCGAGGTCCAAAGGAAGCAGATTTATCGTCTCTGAAATGACGATGAATGGCTGGTTCGGGCCGCAGTGGAAACACAAAACGCGCGCATGAACATGGGCACACGAGTTTGCGACGCAGTGGAATGGGCAGAAATGGTCTGAGGCTCAAGCTTGAGAATGAGCCGGGCTGGTTGGCGCGGGACTCATCCCTGACGGCAGGATGCAGGGCACTCCATCAGGTTCAGTACCCAAGGGTGCTCATTGGGTAATGATGACTGTGCAGTGACTCGTTATGGATGATCGGTTAATGAGTTGTGGTGCATGCACAACCTTAGGACAGCCTTAAAAGATCTTGAAAGTTTCGAGAGAAGTCTGCGAAGCATGAGGCTGCACACCTCAGGGGTGTCCAGGACACTGGCTGGTGCGCATGCCTGCTCCGGATGAGTCCTTGCATGGGAGCATGCACCTGCATGTGCCCCTTGTGTTACGACATGACATGCTACACTTCCAGCTGTACATACTCTGCATTCGCTGCGCAGGACATTGGAGAGGCGCCGACAGCATGTGTGTATGAGTGTGTTGTGGCAGCGTCAGCGGATGGCGGCAAGTGGCAGTCGTGGCAGACCCGTGCAGTCAGCGCAGGTTGCAGCGCCGCTTGAGACAGACCCGATGCTGGAGCCGCTTGTCATTGCAAACGCGTAGAGCCACAGTGGCCTCGGGCCAGGATTCACCTGTAGCAGCACAAGGGAACAATAGGAACACGACGCACTGATACATGCACTGGCACGGTGTCCCACTTTTTCATATGTTTTGACGCATCTTTCAAGAGCAGCGTCAGCTGATCCTGAATTGGCCACCATCTCGGAATCTGGGGTCGATGTAGGCTGGCGGTGCCCGTCTACCAGCCGCAAGGCTCAGACCTCAGTCGGGCCCAGGCTTTGAGGATTAAAATTCTAAAGTGCAAGGCTGCTCCGGTTCGTGTAGATATGAAGTCCTACATGTCTGCTGGAGGCTTTAAGGAGTGACTCTGGGTCTCAGCTAGCTTTAGCTCCTCAAGCTCCCACGAGCCAGGCATGGTTTGCCTCGAAGTTGTCTTCAAGACGGGCGTCCCAGTGAGGCGCTTTGGTGGTCAGTCCTTTGCCGTTGAGGGCTGTGCCGTTCTCTGGCTACGAACCTGCCAGGGAGAAGCCAAGCCGCAAAGCGAAGACGGTGGCAACGCTCAAGTGTGGCTTGCCCGCACTGGAGCTTCAGCCGCGCCTGCTTGAAGACTGGGATGCTTGAGCTAAGGTGGTGAGTACGTCTTTGCTCACACTCAGAATTTTGACGGCTCGGGGCCCCAGCTTGCCTATGCCTGCCATGCTCAGGAAGGCATGCACGTTCCTGAGGCTGGCTGAAGCTCTCGGGCAAGCCGGAAGGTTGGGTCCTGGCCAACGACTCGGCTGGGAGCTGAGTCATGACTCGCTCACGTTTAAATCCGGGAGTGTGACCTTCCGGGCCATCTGGGAACTTCCCCGACGTTAGCTTGGCATGCGTTGAGGCACAAGCATCGTTCTAGAGTCGTGCCTGAGTCACATCTCTGCGGGGCGAAGCTTCCCTACAACTTCCACTGCATCCGAATAATAAGAAACAATAACAACAATAATAATAATAATAAATAATAAACAAAAAATAAATACATACATAAATAAAAAATAATGATAACAATAACAATAATAATGCGAGGGCCCTCCCGAACCTCACTGCGACTCAATGCCCAGGACTGGGGCGAGCTGCTCCGACGCCGGCGGCGGATGAACGACCGCTGAAGCCCAAGAACCTCAACATGAGAAACGTGCCGAAACACGTGGGAATAGTGGTTTAGGGTTTAGGGTTTAGGGTTTAGGGGGAGTAGTGGCAGTGGGGCCGCTATTGTGGTAAGACGGTAAGAGTAAGAACCGTGCTCGTAGTAAGTTTAGAGACCAGGACGGATAACAGCGGAGAGAGCAGGCGATCATAGAGATCAGCAAATTGTACAGGGCCCACTTCATGAGATAACCCTCAGCAGGACATCGACTTGTGGGCCATGTGTGATGCCTGGGCTGCTGCAAGAGCGTGCGGGGCTAAGGCTACGGAACACTTAAAGTAAATCGCGCACCAGCTCCCATCAAGGCTTGTTTTCTGCAGCTTCGGCCTGACTGCTGTTGCACATCGCCACTGACGTCCACAAAGGGGTGGGATCTTGCAATGGGTGCTCTGAGCTGTACTGATCCTGATCATTGCAGCACCTGCTTGGGACTGCACATGAACTCACCAGCAAGCCGTGACGGACAGGAGCTCCGCAATGAATTCACTTCACCCCGAACCCCCAAGCCCTGGACTTTTGCCTGATACGACTGAGGCGGCCGGGCACAGGGCGAACCATGGGCCTGAGTGGCAAGGACGAGTGGAGCCAACATGGGGCTACAACAAAAAATAGCGCTTCGAGTGTAAACGCATAACCCTTGAAAGAAGATTTCTGATGCAGAGTTCCTCGCCGCCGAGTTTCGAGAACACTATCACAGCTACCAGTCAATTTTACTACGACTACGACCACTACCACTGCCCCTGCGCTACAGCTACTGCTACAGCTACCGCTGCAGCTACTGCTATGCTACTCCACACACAGACAAAAGCCTTGGGCCACCCACAACTCAGGGGTTGCAGTTTAGGTCGACCTGGATGGCAACTGCCCAGGTGTCTCTAGGACCCTGAGCCCCTCTCAGGAGGTCGAGGCCCTCAAGGAGCTCGAGGAGCGCACCGTCATGGAGGCTCGGGGGGGAACACTTTCTGAGACGCATGTATCAACTCCTGCCCGGTTAAAGGCCAAAGCCCTGTGGCAAGAGCACCGCACCAACAAGGAGTACTTGGTGTCGGAGGGATACCTGGCCGGGGAGGACCTGAGGGGCTAGAATGGGTTAGAGAGTGCTGCTAAAGCGTTTAGAATGAGGTCGGGAATGTCTGCCAGCCGTGTCATCCTTCCCAAAATGAAGTGATGGAAGGACCTTTTGAAAACCGAGACTTGGATGCGCACCGCTCCTAGCGCAGTGGAGTTCATATCGTACAAAGCTGCAAACTCCCGTGTGCTGTGCACAGCCTTTTCGAGGTCAGCGTGTCTTCGCCCACGTCCTTGAGAAGAAGTCCAAGACCGGTGAGGCCTGAACCCTTCGAACTGAAGAATCGGAATTATAACACCCCTAAACCCTGAACCCCAAAAACCCTAAACCCCAAACTTATCATTCATTTTGCATTTCGAGACTGCAGGGCAGGTTGAACTTTACCATGGCTGCGGCTCAAAATGTCTCGGGCTCCCGCACCGGCTGTTAAGATATTTTCCGCGACAGCGGGGCACGGCATACGTCTGTAACAGGTGGGGGAGGGTGGGAAGAGGGCGTGGGACCCCGCGACATATTGGGGGCGCTTTATTTTGCATGCCAGGGCCACCCGAAGCAATCGCTTTGAGACCGGTTTTTGGCAGGGCTGGCTTCGTGAGCTGATCTCCGGCTTCAAGCTTTCCTTTCGTGTGCGGGCCCGAGAGTCTCAGACACTGAGGCCTTTGGCTCCAAGGCTCAAGTTACCCTAAACCCTAAACCCTAAACCCTAAACCCTAAACCCTAAACCCTAAACCCTAAAAACCCTAAGCCCTTTTGAAGCTGAGGTGCCCCCACTGCCGGGCATCCAAGGAGAGCAGGAGGAGGATGACTACTACGCCGAGCAGGCACCTGTGACGAGTCTTCCGCCTGCGAAACCACCAAAAAAGAGCAAAACCTCCGCACAAAATGGGAACCCTCTGCTGAACCGGTTGAGGAGTGTAGAGGTATACGGTATACTGAACCGGTTGAGGAGTGTAGAGGTATATTATGGTATACTTGCGACATCATCGGGCTCCGTCTTGAGAGATTGGGGGAGTGGTCCTGGTAGAAACAGAGTCCCAAGATTCGAGCCTTGCTGCCAGTATGAGTATAGGGCTCAGTCTTGACTCAGGGTCCTTTTGGGATGTTTTTGAGACGAGATGAGTTTGTAAAAGAGGACCCTAGTTTAGATCAACCCCCCCCTACAATTACTAGAAGACCGTGACATCTCTTCAAGACCCCCGGGGCGGCCGGTTTGAGTCCTCTTTGAGCCCTGCCGAAGCTCCTTTGCGAGGCGCAGGCGCAAAGCTTCTCCCAGGGGCTGCGGCCTCAGAAAGGATGGTCATCGGCTCAAGGAATTCGGCACAGGGGTTTTGGGTTTATAGGGTTTATAGGGTTTGACGGGTTTAGGGTGTAAGGTTTAGGGCAGGATCTCGAGCAATAGGTTGGAATGGGTATGGAGGTGTTGGAGAAGGCGTTTGGCTTGTGCGCGGAAGCGTTGCAGCAGTGCCCTGTGTGGCAGGCTGCGCAAGGGCTTCACGAACGGCAATGGCGGAGCCATGGGTGGGGCCATGGGCGGGGCCATGGGCGGTGCCATGGGCGGACAGCAAGGCAGGATGCAGAATCTGGAGTCTACGGAGTCTAGAGCTTGTTCTCACCTTCTTCGAATTGAAATTGGAGGTAACTTGGGTGCCTTCGACCCGGCATTCGAAGGGACCAAGCCCTTTGAGTACAAAGGCCGGATGCCAGGATGCAAGAAGACACCCTGCTTTGTGTGGGGCAGAGTTGAACCGGTTGAGGCAAGATCTACACCATGGCTCCGAATGGTGTCCTCTTTGATCCGCCGAATCAGGCAGACCCAACTGCTTGTAGAGATCCACTTGGCACCACGGCAGACCGTACAGGTGGATTTCCACAAACGACCGTTTCGTTTGAATGTTGTAATGAGCATTCTTTTTGCCCAAGCAGAGTAGCTTAGAATAATGGGGTTGCTTTGACTCCTGAGATCCCTGCTACCTGATAAGGTTGTTTTTGGCCCTTGAGATCCCAGTTGCTAGTTCGTAAAGGCTTACCAGGTCATTGAAACAGCAGTTGGGTCTCAAGGTGTGATGAGTGCAAGCGGCTGATCTGAATACTGTCTCATGAAGGTAGAAAGGTGAAGAGATCATCAGTCTCATGACACCTTACTGCCCAAGAGGCCATCCCATAAAGAGCACCCCTGAAAGGTTCCAGTCGCAAACAGCACTGCACCGCTATTTGTTGCACACTCTGATACCGTGGTGCACTGCCACTTGCTGCGCATGCTGATGATGCTGCGCTGATCTGCGCTGCATCACCACTTCTTGCATCTGTTAAACCGTGCTTCATCACCACCTGCTGCGTATGCCCTGAGATGGTGGCACGGCAAAACTGCGCATGCTGGTCCATGTAAGCCCCTGCGTTAATGATCCATTACAGTAGCATCCAGTTGCCAATGTTTTTGAATGCTTGTTGGAGCAAAAGGCAGTGAGATGCCAGCGCACAGCTTGCTTTCCCAGACGTCTGAAACCATCACTTCTGCGCAGGTGCGTTAGGAGAGTGCCATCTCGTGAGATTACTGGAGCATGCTGCATTTGTCATGCAGCAAGCAACATGCTGCATGTGGCCCCCCTGCTGTTGAAAGCAAATAGGTAAACTGTGCGAGGTACGTACTCTTTGTGTTCAATGTCGTGAAGTTTTCATCGTGTGTAAAGAGATTTCATGAAAGCGAAAAGGTAACCTGTGTAAAGAGTTTTCGCTCACTCACACACACACACAAAACACAAAAAAACGCGTGCATGCACGCAAACGCGCACGGGAATAGGTCCCAATGGGCATCTGGAACCCCGACACCCAGCGCCTGCAGCTCAGTTTCCCGAACAGGAGCATCTTCACGGGGTGTGTTGCGTGTTTGAGGGGGTTTGGGGAGACTGTCGCGCCCAGGCACGAATCAAACCTTGGTGACTACCCTCTGAATCCACCTCAATCTACCTAAGTAGGTGCCGACAGACGCATCTAATCCCTTGAGCCCAGGCCTAGACCCCGCCGCCGGTATGATGCCTGGCTGCCCGTACCCAGCACCTCGGACATGGGTGCCGATATGTTCCGATGCAGTGCAGGATTCGTCTTTGCTAGCTGGCGGCCGTGCAGGGTTTTTGACGCGTGACAGCCATGCCCGTTGCGGAATGGGAGTACACACTGATCATTGATGCAGTCTTTGACAGACGAGTTTTTAGAGGTGTTGCGAGACCTCCAAATCTCGGGATGGTTGTTGGTTCCTTGTTTGGGATGCAGGCGTCGACATTCATTCGCAGCAAGGGGGATGGTGTGCCAGGCGATCTCATACCTGGGTCGGACGTACATACTGCTCCCCGACCAGCGTCTGCGCCAGCCCAAGCTTTTTCCGGAGTTGTCAAATTGTGAACTAAACTCTTCCCCTCGCCCGGTCTACTCCTCGCCCATTCCCCCATGTCCCAGCCCAGAGCAGAAATTCCCTGAAGTGCCCAACCCCAGAGGCAGAGTCTCTAAAGTGCCCAACGGGGGTATCCTCAGACAGCCTCTGGAGCGCCCAACCTCCGAGTATTTGTAGAGAATTTTTGTGGAGTGCCCAACCCCAATTCTCAGAAAAGTCCCTGGAGTGCCCAACCCCCAAGAGTCCCGGGATCCCTGGAGTACGCCGGAGCACCACGAAATTTGCAGAGAGTCCCTACCTCAGAGTTGCAGACATTCCCAGGCTATTCCCAGAGTGTCCCTGGAGTGCCCAACGCCAGAGTCTCCCCCGACCCAGAGTTTCTCACAGAGTCTGCAGAGTGCCCGAGTATGCCCGGAGAGTCCCCACAATATCCCCCAAAGTTTCGCCCAGCCCCACAGTGTCACCAAAAAGTTTCTCTAGAGTGCCTGGAGTGCCCAACCTCAGATCTCCAGAGAATCCCCGGAGCGCCCAACCCCGGATCATCCCCGGAAAGTCCCCCAGAGTGTCCCTGAAGCGTCCAGCACCAGAGTGAGCTCGTAAATTCTTTGCCTACAGGGTGGGGCTGTTCGAAGTAAGATCAGCTTTTGACATCCTTGCTGGCCTGAGCAAGATCTCTCGGAGCTCAGTTCGGTGCCTGAGGTTGGACCCCGAGACCGAAGAGGCCGCGTAGGGCTGGCGCAGTCTCTGCGTAGCGGCTTACCCCTAACCCTAAAGCCCTACACCCAAAAGTGCAGCGAACTCCGCAGATTGTGGGGACCTTCAATCGGGAGACGAACGAGATGGACTTGCAGAACCCCACGCTGCTTCAGGAGGTCTGCCTTCAACAAGACACTGGTTTCTATGATATTCTTTTGATTACGATACGATTATGTTCTAATGCTATTACATGTTCAATTCTTCAGTAGCTCTTTGCCCGTTTGCTGCAGCTGGGCCTTTGGCAGAGTAGAGAGACAGTTTTTCCCCGCTTCGGCTCAAGATTGCTGATCAGCAAACTTGGCCAATGCACTCAAGAACCTGCCGATGCTCTCAGAGAGCACGAAGCCGACCTCAGCCAGATTTCAACTGACACCTCAATTCGCACACCTCCGGGGCAACCATGGCTGAGACCGAGAATGAACTTTTCTCGGACGACCACTTCCAGGCGCAGCGAACTCTGCGATTTTTTTCTTGGGGCTTCAAAGTCGGAGTCAAGGAGCGTGGCTTCCTCTCTCCAGGGTTTAGGGTTTAGGGTTTAGGGTTTTGAAATGTTGCGGCATTTTGCCACCTGACAGGCCTTGGCAGCTCAAGAGAAGAAGCCACAGGACTTCCGAGGGGTGGAAAAGAATCCCTCAGAGGCATCTTTCAACCGGCGGCATGGGACATTGAGGGACACCGCCACTCGACCTTGACGGCTGCTTCGTGGAAGTTGGCCGCAGGATCTTCTGAAGACCGTCGAGGCGAACGCGCCTGGCTATACGGAGCCTTAGAGGCATTGGCATTGGAGTTGCATGGCGGTGCCTCCAGCGTACACATCGTCGCGCTGTTCCAAGCTGAGGTGAAGAAGCGCCTGCTGGATGGCATGAAGGCGCCCGCAGCTTGCGTACGGGCGGGGAGGGAGTGAGCTAGCACCCTGAAGCTGCTGGCGACGGAACTGAGCAGCAAGCTACGGTTTTGGAGGAGTTTCTTGTAAAGATTGAAGCTGCCGAGAACAAGCTCTACATGGCCACTCGGCAGCAGGGGCTCCACGAGGTCCTAGATGATTGTTTCAAAGGTTCTCTGCAGACCCCCGGGGCTTCTTTCAGGTGAAAGCTGTTGGCAAAGTTAAGGGAAAGATGGAGACTGAGGACGCATGCGGCCACCGCTGCAAGTTCCAACTTTGCATGGTGATCCTTGTCCCTGGCAGCCATAGCAGGAGCACGAGCTGATCACCAAGTACTTCAGTGGGGACCTGAAGGACGTGCTAGGTTTGGAGGTTAGGCATTATATGTGTTTTGCAGGGAAGAGCGCTCGCTGGAGTGCTGCGAAGAGGGAGGGGTGCAATTCAAGGGATCACACGCAGCTGAATGGCAAAGTTCCATTCCGGCTGTTCAAAAGATTTCAAGATTTCAAGATTTCAGAAGTCTTTCAATCCAGGAGAAGATCCAGCTCATGAGTGGCGCAGTTCAGGCGATGATCGACGAGGGTCGACTCACCGTCGAGGCGGCTCGGGAACTCTTAGACTCAGAGCGGCATCTGTATGCATTGGCAAATTTGGTGTACCGTTTGTTTCATCCCCGAAGCCCGAGAAAGCCCCGAAAAAGCCACCAACAGGAGCGGCCTGTGGTCCAAGAGCAGCTCGCCGCCAAGCGGAGCGCGGCCAAGGCAGAGGGAACCTCCCACGGTGCTGTCTCCTCCCCTGGTTCAAATGGTCTGGAGCCCTGAAATCGGTTCGAAGCGCTTCAGACCTCTTCAGATGGACTAATTTGGAGTTCATAAGGTATAAGTTAGGGCTTCAGCCCACCTACAGTGATCGTCCCGGAGTGCTTGATTCCGCACAGGAGGCAGGAAAAGCCAAAACAGTGGAGACGCTCGGCCATTGAGAGAAGTGGGGCTTAGGATGTTTTAGGAGTTTCGGAGTGTCGGCGGTGCAAATGGAGGGCCAAACCGCCCAAAGCCTCAACCCGTACTCCCACATGCTTGGAGCTGAGGAAGGTAGAAGCCATGCTGGTCAGCGTGCCAGAAGCTGAGACACTGGGAAGCCGCTAAGGGTTCAGGGAGTGTTTCGGGTTTGGGGTAGTGAAGGTTTTTGTGGGGAGGTTTTCTATGGTTGCAGAGAGGGTCCGGACCCCAAAGTAGGGGGACCCTAAAGTAGAATTTCCCCCCACATGAGGTGGCACACCCACGCCTCTCAGAACGGCTGCATGCCAGGGGGAAGTCAACCGGCATCACCCACCCGGTGAAAAATCTGGAAGACTTCTACCCACTGGATCAGGCTTTTGGGGGGGTGGGGGGGGGGGGGGATTAACTCAGCAAACCTTGGCTTGTAGGAGGGCATTGTCGAGACAACTTCTGTAGGCAGGACCTTGCGAGTCATCAGCAGACCTTCTTCGCAAGTGGGACGAAGGAACAAGCATTCAAGAACGGCCCCGAATGACCTCAATCTGCCCAACACTTGCGCCACGCCAAGCCGGCAATCACTGCCCGGTTGCCACGACGAGATCGCATCAGTATTTTTCTTGATGTACCTTGGCTACCTCTTTGAGTCCATCCCGAACCCCAAATCGTTGATTCTGCAGGAGCTGACGCACCTCGATCGCTTAGCAAAGGCTCCGGAGAAGAACCTCAGCACGGAAGCCCAGTTCCGAAAGTCCATCCGTGCACAGCCGTTGTGAGATGCAGCTGCCCGAAGGTGATCATGACAGAGAGCAGGCCTGCAACTCAGGAGCGGAGTGACAAGCCGCCTCAGAAAATCCCTAGGGCGCTGACGCTGATGTGGAGACACGTGGAGATGCATGTTGAGGTGAAGAAGAGGCATTCCTTGCAGGAGGACCTTCGACGACACTTGGAGATTGAAGATCTTTGTTCGTTTCTGGTCGGCTTTTCACTGCCCCAGATGGTGGAACGAGTCTCTGTACCGAGGGTTGGAGCGGAAGAGCCGCATGTGGTTCGAGACCTCCGAGGAGAACATTGAGTATGCACAAGAAAGTTTTAGGGCAGGGCCCAGGGCACAGAAAGATCGCAGGAGTTCCACCGGCGCCTGCAAAAGGCACTCATCGAACTCGCGAAACTCAAGGTGGGGACGCGTGGGGACGAGGAGGGCCAAAAAGCTTTGGCAAGAGACATCAGGGATCCATGCCCTAATGACTTGGTTTTGGGGAGCACTACAGGAATTTATTGCCAAATTATTGATTCATGCCCTATTGAATTGGTTTTGGGGAGCACTACAGGAATTATTGCCAAATTACTGCAGTCTTTTTGCAAGGCCGAGCAGGCCAAGCGAGAAGCACAGGAGGCTGCAGAGCGCAAGCTCCGAGAGGTCCCCTCCCGAAACGTGCGGCCGAGTGATCGGAGTTTGACCCCACGTGGGTTTAGGGTTTATAGGGTTTATAGGGTTTATAGGGTTTATTGGGTTTACAGGGTTTATAGGGTTTAGGGTTTATGGGGTTTAGGGAGTTTAGGGTTTAGGGTTCTGGGAGTTGCTGATGAAAAGAATGTGTTGTTTGGTGTTCGGGGCCCTTGGCAAGGAGGAGGAGGCGCTCGAGCGGAAGCGGCAGGCCTGCTGTTGGACAGGATGGGGGGCACACTATTTCAACTCTGGGGGGGGGGGGGGGGGGGGGGGGGCGGATTCAAGACTGGTCCTGACGTCGCCTGCGCAGTGGTTTATGGGCTGTTCAAATTGCTGGTCCCCTGGTCCATACTATTCCAAACTAGGGCCCCTGGAGAAATTGCCTTTGTAGTAGAACCCCTGTGACAAACAGAAGCCCCAAATAGGGGCCCCAAGTCAGAACAACCCCCATCTAGAGTCCAACCTCGTGGTCACACGCCCGCCCGCAAGACCCAAGAACCCTAAACCCTAAACCCCAAGATGAGGGTCGAGGTCTCAATTCGGGGCTCTTCTTGTATCTCTGTTGCTTGCAGGCCGCCCGTGAGGCGGAGGAGCGGAAGGAGCTGGAGCTCCAGGCCGCCCTGACTGCTCGGGGGTTTAGTTTGCCCCTTTTAAGTGCCCTAATAGAGTTATAATTTGGGTTATAAGTACAGCTTTCATTGGGTACTAAGTACCATGAACCTTCAAGTAGGGATGTGTCGGGTTGATGTTCCAAGGTTTTCGTGCCCACGGGCTCGATGCCCTGAGCTCTGTGTCCGCAAGCCCTCTAAGGAAGCGGGCACATGGAGGAAAACACGCCTTGTGCCCACCCGGGAGCGGGGGATAAGGAGAAGCAAAAGCCAAGAAGGACTAGCATAGAAGACATTGATCAACAAGAACGATTCGGTTTTTCCGCGGCTTTTTCGAGCAAGTCGCGGATTCGCGACTTCCCGGTTCAAACCCAAGGGAGACATGGTTGCTTTGGGAAGGGCAGCCCTCAACCACAAAGTTGGTGGAGACGCAGGCAAGGAGGAAATTCTGATGCTGTTTTCTGAACTCGGCGTTCTTTTGTTTTGGCTGCTGGGGGGCGGGGGAGGGGGGGGGGGGAGTGTAGCAGTGTAGCAGGGAAATGATGGCCGAAAAGAGAGCGAGATTATATCTTGTTCCCTTTCTTGCTCGCGGCGAGGGCTGAACAAAAAGGGCGAAAGGCAAAAGGAAGCAATCTTACAATTATAAGTGTCTTGTAGGAAAGAGTGTAGGGATTCGGGATAGAGTGTGGGGGCTTTCAGGATGTTCAGGGACTTTGGTGGATGTTTTGAGGCCCTTTTGGGGGCGTGTAGGGGCTTGTGGTGTCCAGGCGTGTTTGGTTCACCTCAAGGTAGCTTAGGCACGGGGAAACAAACAGCACGTGTTTTCTTTGGAACTAGCAGGGCGTTGAGTGCAAGGGTGCGCAAGGCAACCTCAAAAAACCCCAAGATGCTTCCTGCCTTAGAAGCCAGACTTCAAAAGCCAGGCCAAGCTCGAGAAGAAGCGGCAGGAGGCCATGCTGTGAAGAAAATGGGTCTGAATCAAATGGCCAGGGCTTCTGGCTGGGGCAGGAACATGAAAAACGGGAGAACTATGGCCGTCTCGTGTCTGAACATCCAGGCCGCTCTGAAGCCGGCAAAGGCGGCTCCCCAGGCGAAGAAGAAAGAGAGCTCCAGACTGCACTGCGTGGAGAGCCTTGCGGGTTCATCCTAGCCAGAGAGAGAGACCTGGCGCGACTTTCAGCGAAAACTTGCAAAGAGTTCTGCTATTTGCACCCAGGAAGCTTCAGCGGACCAAGCTTGATCCACATGCCGCGTGGCATCACTGCTCGCCACGGGGGTGGGGCTCCGTCTCTCCCTTCAAAACGGAGTGAATTCATACGTACATATGTATACAGTAGCAGTAGATGAGGATTCGGGCTGTGTTTTGGGGAGGGCAGGGGAAGAGGGGGCCGGGCACGCTCTTTGCGTTGGTAAGTCCCCTGCTCAGCTGGTGTGAGACAGCTGAGTTCTGTTTACGGCAGAATGTTTTTTGTTTCGGCGAGCCCATGCAAGATACGACCCATTGTCGTTTCCTAGTACTATCTATGGACCTTTCCCACTGTAGCTACCGACTAGCTCCCTATTTGGGGGGTCAACAAGCCTTGGCCTTCGAAGGGGCAGCTTCGGGTCTGGCATGTTTGGGTTTGGGGCTTCTGGGTTCGGGTTTGCTGAAGATGGCTGAGCAAAATCTTCTCCCCAAACCCTAAACCCTAAACCCCAAACCCCAAACCCTAAACCTAAACCCAAAGTCTCTAAAGCCACTGGGAGCCCTACTGCAAGCCTCCGAGGACTTCTTCCAGCCCCCTCCCAGGGAGGAGGAGCCAGAGACTCAGGCCAGCACGGAGGCGCAGGCCGGCAACTGCTGCATGCTCCATCGTGCTACAATAAGAATAAGGGTTTAGGGTTTAGGGTTTAGGGTTTAGGGTTTAGGGTTTAGGGTTTAGGGTTTAGGGTTTAGGGTTTAGGGTTTAGATGCCTGTACTGGGGGTGGTGCTCGTCTCGCCGGCAGCACTGAGTTGCAGGAAAGTCACTCCGATGATGGCGATGGCTTGACCACACCTCCAGCGAGTGAGCAGCCCACGACTCAGCGACCGGGGTCTTTGGGTGACTTCTGCTTTACCAAGAGAGAGACCCTTGAACCCTGGATTGTTGGGGAAACTCGCATGGACCTTAGGAGGCCTCAGCAGGCTCAGCACCGTGGCGGTGAGAAGCGCTTTGCGACTCGAAGGGCCGTAGGGATGTTAAAAAGGGGTGCGCCGAGGCCTCACACTGCGGCCCAAACTCCGGAACCGAAGCCCAAGCCGAAGCCTGTGGCCGCCAAAGCTCCGGTGAAGAAGGCATGAGTTTGGAGTTTAGGGGTGTCTTCCGGATGTTTGGGGCCTGCAGGTCATGGGCGACAAATCATGCACACGAATGAAGCATAGAGAAGGGGACAGTCCGATGGAGAGTCAATGGAGAGATGCAGAAAACAGCTCGAAAGATCCGAAGCCCTTGAACTGCAGACTCTCCGATGTTCCGCCACATGTTCAAAAACGTGCAGCTTGCAGATTGTCATCGAGAACAAGTGGGGCACTGCAGACACGGCGGCTGCGGATTTGGAAGAGCAGCCGGGCCGCGCTTTGAGATGGCGTAGGATACAGGTACCCTGCAGCCCAACATGGGATACATGGGATTCTTGTTCCTGGGGTTTTCAGTGGGATTTGCAGCCCACCAGGTCCGTCGCCGAGGGGCTGGAGGGCCCTTCATTGCAGGAGGCACAGGCGGGCCAATACGTGCAGAGGTAGGGACCTAAAAGGAAGTTTCCGGAGCAAGGGTTTGCACTGACATGACATGGGGTCCGTGCTACGGCGCGTTTGGGCAGGTAGGGGGTTCAGTTTTACTTTCAGCCAGGCCTCAGCACACAGCTACAAGTAGTGGCTGTTCAGCAAAACCCGGATGACGACCCTGAAGAGTGCTCCGACGCATTCTCTTGCGGCAGGATACCAGCCTTGGAGGCCCAAAATTGGCTTCAGAAGCCCAAAATTGGCTTCAGAAGCCCCAAAATGAGCTTCAGAAGGCCCAAAATTGGCTTCACAAAGCCCAAAGTGCCCCTGGGGCCCCTTTTCCCGCGATGCAGGCCATGGAGGCCACGCACGCAGCGGGTCCGGCGAAGAAGGCCGCACCCCCGCAGCCGCAGCCGAAGAAGAAGGCTGCGCAGAGTTGTAGATGTCCAGGGCGAAGGTCCAAGGTCAAAGGTCTAGTCTTCCACCTCTGGCTTAGGTTTAGGGTTTAGGGTTTAGGGGTTTAGGGTTTAGGGTTGAGTAAGGGTTTAGGGTTTAGGGTTTAGGGTTTAGGGTTTAGGGTTTAGGGTTTCATTGTGTGCAGGCACTTGGGATCTTGAGTTGTGTGTAATCTTGAGGAGAAGAAGAAGTTCAGCAAGATGGCTGTTACGGACCTGGGGTTCGATGCGAACAACCCGAGTCCTGGATTTGCAATCTACAGCAGCAGGCTTTGGCGCCATTTTGTGCAATGAAAATAATAACAATAAAAATATGAATAATAATAAGAATAATAGTAATAATAAAAATAAAAACAAGTAATAATAGGAGAGAGAGTAATAATAATCATCATAATAATAGTATTAATAGTAGTAATAGTAGTAATAGAAATAATGAAGCGATGTGAGACGACTGACCCGAGGAACTACAGGTAAGTGGCGAGGAGGCGGTGGCGAGAAACCCGGGCGTGCTCGCTCAAGCTGTAGCATACAGGCTTTGCCCTGTCTGTCCGGTTGGAATCCAGAGGAACGAATTGGTTGTCCATGACACGTCAAACGAGTACCATGCACAAGCACATTAAGTATGGTAGCGGCCGGGAGAAAGGAGCAAGCATGCTGCAGTTGGACAGAGTGTCCGTCCGCAAGCTGCTGTCAGTACAGTTGCCCCATTCACAAGAAGTTTGTCTGTCGGTATGTCCTACATATTTGCATAGTGTTCATGACTCAGACTCGGGGCATTTCTTGATGCACCGCTCCGACACGCCCGAAGTGTTGCTGAAGCAAGCCATCTTGGGTTTGCGAGGACGCACTTGCCAGGAGTAGCACAACTTGGAATGTTCAGGCTTCGGAAGCAGCAGCGGTTATAGTTCAAGATGCCATTGGGACGCTGGTTGACAGTTTCCGTTACCCAAGATGGCGCAGCACCTTTAAATGGTAGAAAGCCATATGCATTTCCTGCACTTTTGAAGTATGCGTCTATAGCCATGTGCTAGCTGAGAACCGGTGTCAGCAATCGACTGACGGAGCTCTTGGCTGCGCGTTGCGGAGTTGGCCTCGGAAAGGGCACCCGGCCACACGGCAGAGGAAGCAGTAGTGACCCCCACCCCATTCTCGCGCATGGGGTTCGGTATGTGCAGGACATTGCAGGACCACTTCCGACACTGCTTCCCTACGACGACGACGACGACTACTACGATCATCTACTACTATCATCTACATCTACTACTATCATCTACTACTATCATCTACTACTATTATCTACTACTATTATCTACTACTATCATCTACTACTATCATCTATTACTACTATCTACTACTATCTCCTCCCCCTCCTCCTCCTCCTCCTCCTCCTCCTCCTCCTCCTCCTCCTCCTCCTCCTCCTCCTCCTCCTCCTCCTCCTCCTCCTCCTCCTCCTCCTGCTGCTGCTGCTGCTGCTACGACTACTCCTACTCCTACTCCTACTCCTGCTCCTGCTCCTGCTCCTGCTGCTGCTGCTGCTGCTGCTGCTGCTGCTGCTGCTGCTACTGCTGCTGCTGCTGCTGCTGCTGCTGCTGCTGCTGCTAGCGCTGCCAGCACTACTAGTACTACCTTCACCACCGCCACCACCACGACCACTACCACTACCACCACCACCGCCGCCACCACCACCACCACGACGACGACGACTACTACTACTACTACTTCTTCTTCTTATACTACTTTTACTTCTACTGCTACTCTGCTACCTGCTACACTGCTGCACTGCTGCACTCCTACTCCTACTCCTGCCCTCCTCCTCCTCCTCCTCTACTCCTACTCCAACTCCTAGTCCTACTGCTACTTCTGGTCCTACTGCAACTCCTGGTTGCTGCTGCCGCTGCTGCTGCTTCCACCAGCTACCACGAGCTACCACCGAACGAGCTACCACCGACCCATCATCCGACCCAGAGCTGCGGAGTTTGAATGTGGAATGCTTCTTTTGCCGCATCGTTTCAACTCATACCATGCCCTGCCAAAAAAAGCTTTTCGGCACCCTGCAGCCAGGACAGACGAGCTCCTCTTTTGGATTGTTGTCGCTGTTTCGTAAACGGCCTTGTTGTACTTGAGAGAATCCTTCCGAGCTCGTAGCCTCAGGCTGCCAACTATGATTTGATCGGTTAGCCCAAGCCCAATGCGGGAACCCATTTGCTTGAACCTTCGGAAACGCACTGAGTCGTTTCCATCGTCTGCCTTGCGGGCATCTTGATATACTGCGAGAGCACCCTTAAGCCCTCAGCTGGGCACAACATGGCCCAACCACCTCAGAGATTTTTGCGGGGGGGTTGGACTCAGTTTTTGCAAGTTGCAAGTAGTGGCAATACAGTGCCTTTCTGAAATACACCCCGAAGCCAGATGCTCAGGCTTACGCCCTCTGACAGCCCTTTTCCTTTCGCAAGCCGTGTGCCCTTCCAGCCCAAAGTCACAAATTCTCTCCAAGCATAGGAAGGACCAGGCTTGCGGAATGCCGACGGGTTCCGGAGCTTCATGTCGCCATTGCGCCATGCAAAAGGGCCGCACGTCAGAGCTTTATTAGCCTGCACTCTCTGTTATTCTCTTGTGTATTTTCATGATCTTCGACACTCTGGAACCCATAAGTCAAGAAATGGACAGCCCTCGACCAAATCGAGTCAATCGGCAAACCTCGCCAGGTGGGCTCCAGGAAGGAGACGGGTGCTGCCAGGGCCTTGGTGCTCCAACTTTCAAGCCTCGCTGCGCCAATAAGCCCAGCTGCGATTGGAGTTTAGAGGTTTAGGATAGGTTTAGGGCTCGGCCGCACGGCCGGGAATAAAAGGTCCACTGCATGTTAACTCAGCTTAGCTCAGCTTTCTGCCCTCCACGATTTCGACGATCGACTGTCGCGGCTTTGGCTTCAGATAGGCACCAAGCGCCATGGCGCCATGGTGATTTGGCGAAACCGCCAAACCAAGTTGGACTTGGTCAGCCAAAGCTAAGGAGAGCGCACGGGTCCTGTTTCGGAGTTTTCTGAAGTTCGGCATTTTAGGGTCAATAGCGTGATTTTGCACATTGGCTGACGCACGCAGTGCCGAGTGAGCCAAGATAGTTCACAAGAGCAATGGGCACTCATAGGCGATTGGCGTAACCTTCGCAAAAACAAAAGCAAGTGTTCGAGCGTGGGCCATCGAGTACGCGTCGTCATGTGGCCGATTCCGTTACCTTGGCATCGGCATTGTCGTTGCCTTGAAAAGCGTGCTCTCCCTGTGACACCACCAACGGGATGTTGATCGTAAGGGCATGTGAGGTAAACGCGCGCGCAGATACCTGAGCTCAGGCAGACAAGCAGGCAGGCAAGAGCAGACGCATACAGCACCATGCACATCAGAAAGTCAGTGCAGAAGAAGAAGAAGAAGATTAAGAGCTCTATCCTCTGCGTAGGGGTATCGAGACGTGCAGTGATGCTCAGCTGCGAAAGCGCAGCTGAATCGCAGGAGTTTCTGCGCTTGACCTCGTGCAGGTATGATGAACCAATGCGACGCAGCTTGATTGCACTTTGGCCGTTGCCAGGCTTCTCCAATGCACCTTCTCTGCCCTCCATACTCGTAGTCCCCCAGCTGTAGTCGATGTCATTGAAAGTGTAACGATTGGGACCAGGGCCCCAAGCTTCACACCGAGGTGCTCTTAGTTGAGCCGAGCTCACCTTGTCCGACTGCCGACATCAGGTGGGGCAGAGAGGTCTCAAGCATTGATGGCTACTCGCACCTTCCATCTGCCTGCTAAAGCCGGCTAAAGCCCCAATCCTTAAACCGTCCTAAGCCCTGAATCCTCTGAGCGCTTCAGATCGTCAGTTCCACAACGTAATTAGCCAACCGGAAAGACGCATGACATGCGACGCAGGTACTTACGGTCAACGCAAATTTGTTGCGTTGCTCGACACGCCGAGCGAGCGGATGCATCCTATGCTTTATACAGGCCCCGTACGCTCTCACAGCATACTTTTTAAGACGGCCCGGGGCTGGATGTGCTGTGCCGAAGTTAGTCATGTGGAAGTCTTGTCCCTATGAAGCCTGAAAACTCACAGAAACCTACCAGAAGCTTCCCTTGCCAGGGGTGCGCCATACGTTCAGTCGGAGCAGTACGAGAAGTTTCCCTTTGATCCTCCTCTGAGTGACCCCGGCCTGTGCTACAATCAGTTTGCAAGTTCTAAGATGACGGAGCTCAATTCAATGACGACAGCTGACCGGAAATCCAAAAAGCTTTCAGCCTTCGAAAAAACAGCTTTAAGTCTTCGACCCTGTAACTTGTGCTGCTGCTCGTGCAGGTAACATGAAAGGGATACAAAGATAGTGCTGAGCGCTTCTGATATCAAGTAGCGAAACGTAAACCTACTGTACTTGAAGCTGGAAGCCAGTGGTCATGTCAGGTGACGATGGAGAGGCTGGAGCGATAGAAACAGCTCATAGCATCAAGGACTTTGTGGACCAGCATGACACCACCATCCATGCCGCCTGCTTGCGGATGGGATTCTTGAAAACGCCTTAAGGCTCCACTGGCAAGGCAAGCTTCGCGAACGAGACGCTGGCCGCTAGGGAGCGAGAAGCAAAACCCTGAAACACCTTTTTCCCTGCTGCCACTCAGGTAGTCGTCTCATCGCCGTACTTGAGATGTGTCCAGACGGCTGCATCGATTTGTAGAGTGCTGGGCCCATCGATGCTTGGACTGAAAGGTGAGTGAAGGGTGGCCACCAGGTCCAGTGTCACATACTGATGCTACGGATACGTCTGGTACGTTCACTATGCCGACAGGGCTCAGTAGCAAGCACATCTGGCCTGCAGGTGCCAGCGCATGCTCGTGCTTCTTGCTCCTGACCTCAGTCATACAAAGCCACAGCATCACCAGCTGCACGTCAGGACAATCCTGATGTTCGACATGTCGTGCGGCGAGATTTTCGGCCCCAGCGTGATCAGCAGAGAGCAGCCAGAGCAAGTTTACCGGGATTTCAACACAATCCTGGAGGCGCGAAGCTGCAGGGATGGGACTCACGAGTGGACACTGTGGACAAGCACGACATGGGCAGTGCATTGGGGCAGTCGATAGTATTTCAGAGAACAAATGTATCTAGACATGTGTGTCTAAGTCTATTCGCAGATTTGTCAATCTGCTTAGTTTTGTGGGTTGAGTGTTGACAGCCACATCTGGAGTCTCGTCCTGCAACTGCAGGAGTGCAAGGCGCGAGGAGTTCACCGGGTGGCACCCGTCTGCGTACGATGCCCAGCCCCAGAGACCCCGAATGGCCATCAAAAGGCCCACAGCGGCGATGTGCATCCTTGTGTGAGCTTCTCCTCGTATTGGGAGTAAGGGTGCAGCAATGGGAACAATAACATGGTGGGGGGGTGGGGGGGGTGTTCCGAAAGTAGGGGATACCTTATGGACACCTTATTGGGGTCCAAATTATCTATCCTACTATTGGGGATCCATAAATTGGGGGGTCCCGTATTTTCGTAAAGCCCCACATGGCACAGGGACACAAAGATGCAAACGTTTGGCCACTGAGGTTGGAACGCAGCCACAGTGGCCCGAGTCTGTCCCCGAAGGCGGAGAAAGTCCAGACTTCAAGTTTCTCTTCTGCCCGGGAAAAGAAGTTCGGGGGCCTTACACTGCAGCCATCCCCAAGATGCCCTAAAAATTTCCCATCATGTCCATTCAGCATCCTGCGTTCCTTTTTGGCATCGTGGCATCCCTCTGCCTGCGTTGCCAGGCCGGCACCGGTTTGCCGAGTCTTTTCTTCACTACGTTCAGAGGGGAACTGACAAGGCGCCCGATTCGAGGGTTTCGAGCTGCGACTTGCGATCTTTGGGGGGGCTTTTCTTGCCGCCGTTGCGAAGAGGCTGGGTTTAGGGGTTAGGGTTTAGGCTTTGGGCTGAATTGTGCAGGTAAGGGGTCACGGGCATGTGCTGCGATGTGACTGCTGGCACTCGTCGAGCTAGATTCTGGAGTCTTGGAGGGAGATTTTTCTGTCCCATGCACGGCTGCTGCTGCGAGGCCAGAAATTTTTTGGTGGTCACGCACGGAGACTGCGCGACTTGGGAAGAATGCAGAAAGCGCAGTCACATGCAGTCACAATGGTAAGAAGGGCCCGAACCGCGTAAAAGATGGACTTCTACCAGCGGGCTTCGGCCAAGCAGAAACCCATGTCGAGTCCCTGGCACCTGCGAGCCCCAAGTGTCTAAGGTCGCTGCCGCTGCGTCCCTTCTTCCGGGCACGCAGGACATTCGAGCCGTGGAGTGTGGGCCTCAGCTTAAAATCATCCTCAGCCCTCAGAGATCCTCAGAGAGCGCGAGGCCCTAAACCCTGGACCCTAAACCCTAAACCCTAAACCCTAAACCCTAAACCCTAAACCCTAAACCCTAAACCCTAAGCCTCCTCGCCCAAGGCCAGGAGGTGTCCTCCTCGCTTCCAGGGTACGGCCACCGGGGCCTGGACTGCTTCGAGCTCGTAAGCACGTCAGGGACTAGGTTTTTTTAGGGTTTATAGGGTTCATAGGGTTTATAGGGTTCATAGGGTTTATAGGGTTTATAGGGTTTATAGGGTTTATAGGGTTTATAGGGTTTATGAGGGTTTATGAGGGTTTATGAGGGTTTATAGGGTTGAGGGTTTGGCGTTAGTGGAGCTTGTGGGGGTTTTTACGGGGCAGAGGGTTCCGGGGGGCGCTACGGGGCCTTATTTTCCGTCCTTCAAATCCAGGAGCGCGGTGGCTTTCGTCTTTCAGGGTGTCTGAGAGATGAAGTTGGGGTTGAGGGTTCAGGGACTTTAGGGTTTGGGGGCTGCGGGTTTAGGGTTTAGGGTTAGTGATTCAGGGTAAGGGTGTCTGCGGCATGTCGCTTCTTTTCTTGAGATCAGGGAACAGAGGTTCAAGAACTGGATCGTAACTGATCGCTACCAAAGCGTCGAAGAGTTAGCAGAGTGCACTTACTATGCCAGTATAAAGTTACTACGCCCTCGCAACATGTTGCGATGACATACTCGTTTCCGTTGCAGATGCGCATGCCAAATTATGGCTTCCGAGAATTTCAAGCTTGCGAAACTTGCAAGACTTTTCCGCTGGGGCTTAAGAACTCTGCGACATGAAGCCCCTTGTAGGAGACGCTTGGTCCATCATCAGCTCTGAGCGCAGCGATGACAAGCACGTGGAGCGTGTGGCGCTGCGGACGCTGTCAAAGGCGCAAGGCAGGGCCCAGGGAGTCCTGCAACACTGAGCGGCCCCCCAAGCCCACTGCACCGCTGATAAGGAAGGAGGCGGGTTGATGTAGATTTGGGATCAGGATGGTATGTTCTGTCGGGGCGAGAGTTCTTCTCTCTCTCTCTCCCGCCAGATTGCTCTGACTCTCCGTGCCAGGATGGAAAGTTGAAAGCATGAACATCGACTTCTGCCCGGCGCCGCGTAGCAAGGAGAGCATGATCAAGCGGATTACCTCCAGCTTGAGGACGGCGGCTGGTGTGTTCGGGCACTTTGGGTAGGTCTCCCAGAGGCGAAGTTCGGGACTCTATGCCCGTTGAGGGGAATACACCCAAGCACTTGCCGCGTTTCCGCTCTGCAAGTTCCCCCATGCATGGACGGAAATGTGGATCTTGTGTAAGTGGCACACAACTAACCCCGATGATTTCGCTACATTTCGAACATGAAATACAAAGTTTGCGGCAGATTACCATGGCGAGGAGCCAGTTATATGGCGTACATTAACTGAGGGTTTAGGGTTTAGGGTTGCTTATGTTAGTACTCATTAAACGCCGAAAGGCCGTTGCTTGTAAAGGCAGATGGACGGTTTGAATAAGACCAAAAAAACACAACTGACCCTTTAGCCAGAGAAAACTATGTGCTTTTATGGAAGACGCAAGAGGATTCCACCCATCCCTTGAGAGCCCCCCACCCCCCCCCCCTTAAATCAAGGAGTTGAAAGCATTCTTGCGATTAGGGGCCTCCTTGAAGCAGGAAAGCCTCGATCCAAAAATCAAGAGAAAACGAAAGCAATGTTCGTTCATGGATTTCTCTCTCGATCTCTTCGTTCTCCCACTCTCTCTCGCTCTCTCTCTCTCTCTCTCTCCCTCCCTCCCTCCCTCCCTCCCTCCCTCTCTCTCCTCCCACGAAACCGTGCCGAAAGACTCGAGCCAATACGTGTGCTTTAGTTTTTGTGAAGCCGTCTGTAGTTCCCAAAGTCCCAACCGCCTCCAAAGCTCTCCGGACGCCGAGCTCTCCCAGGAAGTTCAGCGCCAAGACAAAGCTTGGCCCTGGCCTTGGCAAGTTGGGGTTGACGAAAATAGGGGACCCCCAAATAGTAGGATTCCCTTATAATAAGGACCCCAACAAGGTACCCCTAATTTCGGATACCCCCAAGTTGGAGCCCAGAATGAAAGCCTCCAGAGCCCCATATACTATCATACGACTATGTAAATGTAGTGTATATCATGATACTATTACATGACTATATACTTCGTGTATGTATAGCATTGAGTTACAGCACAGTTGAACTATGATATGGGGTTCAGAGGGTTTTGGGGAAGCCTCTGACAGCATCCGAAAAAGGGGACTTCGATGAAGAGCCCCTTGAGCCCTAGACTTTCAGGTGAAGACCGCGTGAAGTATTTGCTGAAGGCATTCTCAGGCCGGCGACGAACAAAGCAGTTCAGCAAATGCTTGTTACACGCATCAACCAAAGCTTCAGCCACTGAGCCTGAAATGTGGTTTAGGGTTTAGGGTTTAGGGTTTAGGGTTTAGGGTTTAGGGTTTAGGGTGCCTTTCACATCTTCCTGAGCGCGTAGCCGCGTAGCCCTGTCCTGAAATGTGCAGGAGAGCGCCGCCGGCAAAAGGGCCTAGGAGGCAGCCCGCTGCCAACTGGCAGCTCATCCTACGGAGCCTCGGCATCGATTGAGCTCGCAGGAAGGGATACCCAAAGCCTAAACCATGACCATCCTAAACCCTAAAACTACCTAAGTTTCAAGCAAGGACTTCCACCACCAGTCTCTCCCAAGCATATAAATCCTGCACAGGCAAACTACACCCTCACCTCCTCCCCCCTCCCACGCCCCTAAAACCCGACACATCCCAGGCACCCAAGGGCCGGATCCCGCCCTTTGGGTTTTTGGTCTGGAGGCGCAGCCTTGCGCTGTTCGGGGAGGGCTTTAGGGGAGTGTTGTGTTGTTGGCTGTTGGGTTTCTTTTAAATTTCGTCACCCTCCCGCCTGCTACTCCCCCGGCCCCTGACTGATTGTGTCTTACATTCATCCCCCCCCCCCCCTCCCGGCGTGATTGTGTTTGCGAGTAGTCGTTTCACCTGCGTGAGGAGGACAGGACGACGGTGGAAGAAGTTTGGAAGGGATGGCTACGGGAAGGAATTTGCCCAGAGCTAGGCATGAATATCGAGTTGGAAGGGAATTCCAAACAAACCCTCGGCCCTGGACCCCTCAACCGCTCTAAACGCTAACCCTCTGACACACCATCAACTACCAATCGCTTAACAACCCCGAAAAATGAAAAATGTTCTTCCTTATTAAGGGTAATATAGGGATTGTTACTTCAATTCCTTTGGGGTTCTTAAGCAAATAGTAGTCAAGTGTTCGCAGCTCCCATGTGAAGTGTCCGCTCCAACAGGACAACGACTCTCTGCACAGAATGCCGCGTGCAAGGCCTCACTGGTCCAAGGCCTGATACTGTTTGCGCTTAAGGGTGTCCGGGCCTCTGACCTAAGCCTTCCGAAAGGTTCCCTACCCACCCACCCCCCAAAAAAAAAATGACATATATATATATGTATATATATATATATATATGATTATAATCAGAAGAAGAAGAAGAATAATATCTATATATATATATATATATAGATCTCTCTCTCTATCTATCTCTCTTTTTTTACTTCGAACATCCCCACCCTCTCTTGGTAAAGACACTCTGGGTTTGGGCACTCCGGGGACACTCCGGGGTTGGGCACGAGACTTGGGGTTGGGCACTCCAGGAACTCCGGTGACACTCTGGGGTTGGGCAATTCAGAGGGAGACTCTGGGGTCGGGCACTCCAGGGAGACTGGGGTTGGGCACTCCAGGAGACTCTGGGGCTGGGCACTCCGGGGACACACTGGGCTGGGCACTCCGGCAACACTCTGGGTTGGGTCTGGGGTTGGGCACTCAGGGAGGCTCTGGGGCTGGGCACTCCAGGGACACTCTAGAGTTGGGCACTCAGGGACAGTTTGGGGTTGGGCACTCCAGGGATGAGCGAGGAGTAGACCGGGCGAAGGAGAAGAGTTCCGGGCGAGGAGCAGAGTTGAGTTTAAAATCTAACAACCCCACACCGAGGGTGGGGAATAAAGAACGGCTCCCGTCTTCTCCGGGCTTCTGTAAAGCTACCCTGAGACGGCCCTTCACCGCTCACTTTGTTCAGTTTGCACTTGAGAAGGTGTCGAGGCGCCGCAACACCATTACTCTTTGCTGGATGACTCCTTTTCCGACTATGACTTGTGTTTATTGTGCTTTTACTTCTATCATACCATTGCATCTTTTACTGCTACTGCGATGATTGCTATCGCTGCTCGTGATTCTTGCTAGGGATCTTACATGTCTGCGAACCTGAGCGTCCCGGGCACGGCCAGCGTGAAGGATGCGCCGGAGGCGGCAGCCAGGGATTGCTTACGGCTTACTGCCCAAGTTTATTACACCAATCTTGTAAAAATGCTGCGTGGGCCGCAGCAAGACCCCCCCAAGCCCGAAACCCTACTGTGCAGGTGACTCCGCCGCCTGCGTATGCACCAGCCTTCAGCAAGCTCCAGCTGCCCACAGTTCCAGGCCCAGGCCAGGGACCCGTGCCTCCGCTTGGATGTATATATATATATGTTTTTATTTGTGTATATTATTTATGTATTTACTTATTTATTTATGAATATGTATTTATTTATATTTATATTTATATTTATATTTATATTTATATTTATACTTATGCTTATATGTATACTTATATTTATGTTTCTATTTGTTTCTATTTATACACGGACAGACACACAGAGACACACCTGACAGTTGTCTCAGTAGCTGTCATTACTCATCCGTACGGTGTGTCTTAGTAGCTGTCCTTCATTACCCGTCCGTTCTGTGCGTTCCGGTAGCTGTAGTGTCCCGGTAGGAACATTCAAAAGCATAAGAGGACCATACTCTGAAAAATCTTCGCCCGGGCCTCTTCACAACTAGGACTGGTAAATTAAGGTGTATGTACATTTGCCATTCCCTCGGAACAAAACTCCTCTGGCATCTGTTTCACTATGAAGCGATAGGCTTTCTTCTGGGCTTATCGATCTAGACTAGTCCGAAACGTTTTTGAAGGTCTACACATGGTAGGTTTGGTTGGGAGAGCGACTGGCACCTACATGATACCAGTAGCATTATTGTGATCGTCTCTACAGACATGTAGACCTAAAGCTACAGTCTTTCCATGGACTGAGCAAAGGGGGAGCTTCTGCATGACTGGTGGCTTTTGGTGTTACCCTAAACCCTAAACCCTAAACCCTAAACCCTAAACCCTAAACCCTAAACCCCAGATGTTTGGTTCTAGTGCCCCGGTCCGTGGGCCACCATGGTCTCCGGCGGCTCCAATATGAGCAAAAGCTCTGTGGTATTTGCATGGGAGGTTCGCTTTTCTGGGGCTGGCATGTATATATATATATATATATCTATCTACAGTATATATATATATACATATATATATATACATATATATATACATATATATATATGTATATATGTATATATGTTTATACGCATATAATTTACCACGGACCCAACCAGGGAGCTTTTGCTGAGTACGAAGTCTGGTCTGGCAGGCGATGGGAAGCCGCAGGCAAGGCACTTGCAAGTCCTTGGTTGATGGTACCTCCTCTCCCGGGCATTCACCTTAGATGCAAGGGGGGACGCTCGAGCAGAGACACCGAGGCCCCTACCCTTATCCCATACTTTTGACCCCGAGGCTTGACCCCTAGACTTGGGCGGCTTGTCCGACAAACAGAAATCAGGGATCGCAGCTCACTCCGTCAGACCTTGCTGTCCATCATCAAGCGAAACTCCCGTTCCGGGGCCTACGAGCCGTCAGAAGCGACAGCGACGACTATGGCCACCGAGGCCGTGTAAGTTCGGGATTCCTTTCTGACATCGCCAATGTGTTCAGGATTGTGAGAATAAGCGTCAATGCGTAAGAGGGCATCCGGAAGTAGTGGTGCAAGTTCGAACGCAGCACAGTCATGCTGTCTCAGAGCTTACATGGTGCTTTTCGTCCTTGTTACAATGCAGTTCTCTCATGCCGGTCCTCTGTGCTGGCAGAACCATCGCGTCGTGCGGAGAAGCTTAGGTACTCTGCAGACGTCAATACCTGTTTCGTTGTGTTTGAGCACACATGGCCCCAGACATGTGGAGTGGCCCTCGTAACTCTGTGCTCGAACTGCAAATGGGAAGACCAGATACCTCCACAGTTAGCGAGGATGGTAATTTGATCAATGGACAAATCGGGGTGCAAACTGCGACAAATTGGGCTGACGTACCTTTGCCCCGGCGTGAAGAGCCCCAGTCAATGTGCGCATATGGGGAGGTTTACGATGATAAGCGACCCCTGGTATAGACCCCCATATAGTAGGATCCCCTTATCATAACGACCCCGATAAGGCACCCCCTGATATCGTAAACCCCCAAACCCTAAACCCTAAACCCCATCTAAAAGAGGTCATTGGGGTTGTAAAAAAAAAAACTAAACCCTAAACCTACATGGAGTAGGGGAGTCGAACACTGAGACTGAGACATGACTTGTTCGGGGCCTCGCTGGGCCGTGCCAGTCTTGCACGCATGAGGTGAAGGGTCCTAAACCCTAAACCCTAAAACCCTAAACCCTAAACCGGGCATGTTAATGCCTACTGAGTTTTTTTGGCGAAGCATCAGTCCCAAACCGAAATCCTCTCGCGTGAGGATGGACAGCTCAGCAATGGAACTGAAACACCCATCTCCACTCCATGTGCCGGGAAGGCCACCAGTGCTTCAGTTGTGGTTTGGGTTTACGTTACCTTGCTATACTTGTGCATGTACGAATGAACTGCAGGCGTCTGTTCCCATTCCTTCTTCGCAAAGTAGCACGTCCATGCTCCTCCTTTTTCGTTTTCGTTTTTTCTTTGCAATCCAATCACGACAAGTCCTAAACCCTGTTGCGAATCACTCACCCCAGGCACCTAGACCTGAGGCTGGAGCCAACAGCATCTACTATCCCAGTCTTAGGGCTGAGGTATGTTGAGGCATGCGGGGGTTTCCGAAGTTCTGAGGGTACCTTATTGGGGTCATGATGCAGGAATCCTACTATTTGAGGGTCTATATTCAGGGCCCCTCATGTTCGTAAGCCCCTAGGGTTGAGGGGCCCTTGAGATGAACCTCCTGATATGGACTCACGCAGCCTGCCAGGGATACCTGCAGTTGCCAGGGGCCGGGGGCCCTCGAGGACTTCAGAGCTGGGCGGGCTCAGCTTGCCTTCTCTTATGCGAACACTTTTTGGGTGCGATACGTAATTTTGTGTCTACTGCGCCTGAAAACACACATACATACATACATACATACATACATACATACATACATACATACATACATACATACATACATACATACATACATACATACATGTATATATATATAACACTGCATAGGATGTGGATCTTGTTTGGGTTGAAGTTAAAGTGTAGGAGCACGCCATAAGATAGTAGAACGTCAGGACTTGGCATCAGCGACATCTCGTCGTCACCACTTTGGAAGCGGCGGCAGCAAAAGTGGGGCCCTCAGTCGCCACTCTCGGGCGGGTGCCCATCTCCTTACAGACTGCTCAGAACCGCAGAGGCGTCATCCGTTTGTCGTTCAGGACGATTACTGTCTAGGGTTTGGGATCTCGCACAGACCACTCCCTAAGCCCAAGGACAGGGCTGCCAGGAGAGGGAGAGAGAGAGCTAGAGGGAGAGGGAGAGGGAGAGAGAGAGAGCCAGACACACCTTTATGGCCCATGAAAGACAAGAGAGGAAAAGGAAGGAAAACAGGAAGGAAAAGGAAGCAAGGAAGGAAGAGACGCAAACCATGCCCCAACCGATTCTTCTATGAGACCCTGAACAGAAAGACAGACTCCAGCATCTCCGCTGTCCAATTTCATGGTCACCAAACCAGCGCTGGTGGCCAGCCCCTTCCCCCCCAGAGCCAGTCAAGAAGAAGAAGAAGAAGAAGAAGAAGAAGAAGAAGAAGAAGAAGAAGAAGAGGCTGCACCAGTGAATGCTGGCAGTAACCTTTTTTGCGTAGTACGATACTTAGGAAAACGCTGTATACGTGCAACTACAGAGCGCCCAGGACGAATGGATTCCCTTCGCCGGCAGATGGGCTTTGCTTGCCCGCGCCTTTGTCTGGCTTCTCATTGCCGAACTTCCTGGCGGATGAGGAACACGACATCTCTCGACCGCCTTCAGCAAGGCCTGCACATCATTCTAGGGCCCACACGACTTTAAGTTAACACAGGTAGCAAGATTGTGCGTATGTCCCGCTAGAAAGTTTGGTCCAGGGCAGGCTGAAATATCCGTGTGGAAGCATGTACACTTGGTTCAGATGCGGGACATGTTTGGGAGTTTGCTGGGTCGGCTGAGCCGGCTACAGCATATTTCAGTGATCGACCCTTCTAGGGCTCAATGTTCCGAATGCCTTTCGACACACAGTGGACGGACAATGCCTAGCGATGGATGCTACGATTCGTTGTGCAGATGTCGTATTGGGACCTTGTACTGTGAGGGTCCTCCACATTGGCAGTCCGAGGTGTAGCAGCCAGCTCGACTAAAGTAGTTCAAGATCCGTGTCGAGGGGCCTAGGCCAATCTGATTGCAGTTGTTTTTCGCGTATGCATCCTCCCAAGGACTGGATGTACCTGCCAGAAATTATACCCCGATCCCATCTGACATGGCGCCCGCCATGGCAGGATGTTGTGGAACGGATGAATTCTGTGTCATGTCAGCTGCGCACTAAGCCTTAGGACCTTAGGACCTTTGGCTTAGGGTACTTCGCATCTCCAACCCGGCACAGACAGTTCGAGATTTGGCTCAGCTCCTGCACCCTGCACTAATCAGGACTTCCGAATCCGTTCCATGTTGCTCACTGCTCGGCATCCTGCTACATCAGAAGGAATCGCTAGCGTCGCGAAGGTGACTTTCGTGTTCGCACATATGCGTTCAAGCTCGCGACAGCTGCCTTCACTCCTTTGCAGGACCACTCTGGCTCATGCAAGCAAGCACCTGCGCACAGGTACAAGTGCTGCATATCTTTGTGCCAATGAGCCAATCGTGATTTCCGAAGCAGAGGTGCTTAACTCTGAGCCGGAGCTGAATCGTCGTAGCTCGTGCCCCCAGGCTTCTAGCAGAGTGCTCACATGATTACTCACATTACAAGCAGAATAAGCAGAGCAGACATGCTTTTCCAGCCTTGAGCCTGCTGGAGCCCGGGCTCACACAGACCAGGCTACGGAGCAGTGCGACCTTGATGGTCCCAGTGGAGCATGGTAGAATATGGTTTTGAGACAACAGTGGCGCCTTGTTGCCTTACTTCAACAAAGAAGGATATACCAAACCCCATGCCCTTGTCCAGCGTGCCTGCCATGCCATTGTACACCAGTGGAATGGTTCAAAAAACTCCCCGTGCTGTTGCCCAAAAATCCCTTGCAAAGCTTGGCCAATCTTGGAATCAGGATCCTGACTACGCGCATCATGAAGGTCACAGGATGCCCGAAAGGAAACGGATTTGGTCTTCTGAAAGCGAGCTATCGCTACTGTCGCAGCTCTGTGGCCCGCCTAGCACCCTCACTTTCGCTGACATTTATGTTTTCTGTGCTCTTCTTCCGTGATTAGTTCGACGTGCTCTTGGGCGTGTTCTTGGGCAGCTGCTAGGTGACCTCAGCTCCTTGAAAATAGGGGAAATATGGTCCCAGGCTAAGGTCACCTGGAGCGTAGTCCCATTTAGCCACGTGCTTCTTGCCGCAATGACACTGCCACAGCATGGAACTCAAGGGAAGCAGGGGGACCATTGCGGAGTACCACTAGAGGGCGCGAACTAGAATGTCCAGCAGCTTTTTCTGTTTACCTGGCATCGAATGGCAAACTTTGGCAGCAGTGATTCTTCCGATAGAGCCTTGCTTTGCCGCACGTCATCACAAGGACCCGCAAAACTTAAGGCTTCTGGGCTTCAGAAGGCAAGAAGTCGTGCATGAACCAAGCCACGTTCGCCCCGGAGCACTGGAAGTCGTGAGCTACCAGAGCCGCCTTTAGGGTTTAGGGTTTAGGGTTTAGGGTTTAGGGTTTAGGGTTTAGGGTTTAGGGTTTAGGGTTTAGGGTGGTAAGGACTTCGCTGTAATGGTCAGCAAGTTCCTGGGATCTTGGACTTACTTTTATCTGGCAAGCTTGGTCTGGTCAGCAGATTGCTGCTTTGCCTCGTCCTTTGCTGAGATTCATGCTATTCCTGCCTTGGGATCATGCAATTAAACATCCAGACTGAATGCTTCGTCCGGTCACAGTTCACTTCGCAAGTGTTTCCGCTTTGTGTGGTTGCTTGGCTGCGCGGTACCTCCTGGTAGCTTACGCATGTGCTGGAGAGAGTGCCAAAGCTAAGGAGCTTTGACCTAATAAGCTCGGGTTTGGACCCTGTGTCCAAAACCACAGAGGTGTCGGTGTGGAACGAGCGACAAGGGTGGCAGAAGAAGGCATTGCAAGATCAAATCAGCAGGCATTGCCGTAGCTCTGCCCGTTCCTCACTTCAGAAGCGCTAGGTCCGAGGAGCCCCTTCAACCTAGGCCGTGGTCTAGACCGAGAAGCCGAAAGTCTAACAAGTGTTTTTCATGTTTCTGGTCCTGGGACTGGCGCTCACACCGTCGTTGAATCAACAGCTCAGGGAGCCTTGCACCCTGCGATGGGGCCGGCCAAGACCATACCCTGCGGAGGATCCCGTGACATCTCTACGTTTCCCCCCCCCAAAACAACCGGGGGTCCTGACCTCCACCGATGCCATTTGCTGCCATTGACAGAATTAGCCCCCTGAAATCAATTGAAACTGGCCTTGCCCTGCACCATCGCGTGTCACCCTCGGTTCAAGCCTCGCCAAGCACGGAGCCCACTTTCTGTTGGTCGGAGACCACTGGCTCGTCTTGGCCTGCTCGTGCTCGTGTGCATACTTTCCTTTCGTCAGCAGAAAGTGCAGATCGATTCGCACCGCGCATGCCTCGGAGAACAAGCATGTGCACGTCCGGCCATCTGCTCAACGGCGGATGAGACCGTCTAAGCCCAAGTTCCCCAAGCTCGGCACCTGTACAAACCTGGTTAACTTGGAAGGGCTTCCGTTGGCCATGCCTTATGGATTCAGGGCTTCGGGTTTGGGGTTCAGGGCCTCTTTGGGGACTTGCAGATTGATGAGTTCCGCCTGGAAAAGGACCACCTAAGCCTTGAAGCCGAAGTTGTCCCTTCCAAGGACCCAGCTTTTGCCAACGATGGGGAGCCAGTGGACATGTGACTGCCTCAGAGCCAGTCGGGCCTAGGACTCAGCACGTAGGACTGGGGATCCCTTTAGATGTTCAGGCTGGAGGTTCGGGTTGATGCCGACAGTTCCGATTCGCAGGCACGAGTACATCGAGCGCGGCAATCAGATGGTAAAGGCAGCCTGCGAAGACCAGCAGTGCTCAGAAGCGTCAGAAGGTTTCTCACAGCACTGCTCCCCAGCACAGTTCCTGTGGTGCTTGGAATCCAACTCCCCAACCCACTTTTCGATAAGTGCTCCACGTAGCTTCCATCACCTGCGAAGAAAGTCTCACCCCTAAAATTCCCGAAAGCCCTACGGCCCCTACGGTTGCTGCTTGTCACAGGCAGGGCGATTCAAGGCAGCTGCAGGCCTGTTCTCAGAGGCGCTCGACTTCACGCTGTGTGCTGATTTCACCCGGATTCACGGCGCGGTTGCTAGGTTAGAGCTTCAATCCCTGGTGTTCTTTCCAGACCCTCATCGCTCTTCCGCGCCCTACTGGCCATGCAACACTCCTATCATACTATCTGCCCTAGACGAGACCAGAAAAAGATCCCTGCAGCAAAGCCACAACACCGCCAGGCGCTGAAAGCCTGCTCGCAACAACGAGCAGTAGATCTCGACCTGGAGGCACTCAGAAACTGTCGGCAAAGTGAAGAATCCATGGGCTCGAAAATTTCCTCCGTACTGCCTTGGGCCTTACAGTACTTGGTGAGCCCTCGACTCACTCGACTCCAGCCCCTCCAAGTCGTCCTAACCTTGCGCTGCAAGATGCTAGGTGGACATCATCAAATCACGCTGGAGTCTCATTGCAGACCACCGCCACGTATCGCTGAATCGCTGGTGCAACGAACTAGGCAGCGGAAGGAAGGCACACATGGTGCTCAGAGTTGTCGACAATCGTTTCTTCCTCTCTCTCTCTCTCTCTCTCTCTCTCCCTCCCGCTCTTTCTCTTTACACCTCTGAGGCGCCAAGTGCTGGAAAGCGCTGGGATGCTTTTCCGAGCTCCAGGAGGACGACGTAGCGTGTTGTTGCGCTACTTGTGGCAAAGTTGTGGTCGCTGAGTCGCTTCGCGCAGGATGCCTCAAAGGTCCTGAAGTTGACTGGAAACCGAGACAGCGATGCACTGCAATGGCACAGGCCGCCGTCCTCCATCGACGGAAAGATCCCTGAACCCCAGCTGTGAGCCCTGAACCCATCTGAACCCTGAACCTACTATTTGCTTAAGAACCCCGAAAGAATACAAAGTAACAATCGCTATATTACATTTAATGAGGAAGGATATTTTTCCGGGGTTCTTAGGAATTAGTAGGAACTGATGCTCGAAGCTGACAATGGCGGCAGTTCCGATGGACCCCTCAGGGCGGCCGAAGAGGGCCTGGCACACCGAAATCGGCGAGCCCCTGAGCAGCCGCGAGAAGCCTTGGGCTTAAAGGAGGGAGGGAGCTGCTTCTGTGCAAGTAGAGTTTCTTGCACACGGACTGGGACCACAAGAAGCAGACTTTTGAGGGTTTGCGGAAGGACTTGCAGGTCATGGATCTTAGTCCCTCCAAATGACGGCAGGCTGCAGATATCAAGTTCCAAGTAGATGGCCCTGTGAGCTTTCATCAGGGAGGCCAAAGCGCATATTCGTGATGAGCGCTTGTTTCTCATATGTTGGAGCCTGGTGTGACACATTGTGGAACTTTCAAGGCTTCATTCTTAGTTTTCATCTCCACATACCTGAGGCACCGCCAATGACTGGCAGCGCGTGCCAAGCTTAGTCAATTCCTATAAATCCAGTGACATTTGTTTCGTCTGCGGTTTCGTCCGTGCGGTGCGGTTCCGAGGAACGGTTATGGCGGGTTTGGTGCCAAGTGCTCGCAATGCCAGCTGCTCAGAACGATGGGGCTAGTGGGCAAATACAGGCGAAGTACCCGGTGCACTAAGTAAACCGTTCAATACAGGCTCTACTGGCTTGTATTGTCCGGTATTTGGAGCACGGCGATGCGCGGCGTGTCTCAGGAGCGCGTGAGGCCCTTGAGCCCCGAAACCCCCGATTAACTTTCCATAAAATCCAGGTCAGATTAATTGAACCTGCAACCCTCCGAACCCCGCCACCCCTCAAAAAGAACGGAATACCCCTAAACCTTACACCCTGCAAGGCAACGGCCTGGCTTCAAAGTGTGCCCAGTGCGGAGCAGGGCAGGGGGCCCCAAGATTCTGGGTTTATAGGGTTTTGAGGGTTTAGGGCTTCGGGGGGTTGCCGGTAGCCGGGACCCTAAACCCTGCAGTTTCTGAGGTCCACTACAAAATTTGGCTTGAGCAAGAGGGGGTTGGTTTAACTGCAAATTCTGGCCATTCTGGGGCGTCTCCATATTAAAACAAGTTCTTCCGCGAAGGCGGCCGATGCGGCGAAGCATCAATAGCCCATTTTTTTCAGGCGTTGGCTGAAATTTTTCTCATGTCCACCGTGCTCCCTCCAACAACGCAGTTGGGGGGGGGGGGGGGGGGGGGGGGGGGGGGGGGGGGGGGGGGGGGGGGGGGGGGGGGGGGGGGTGGTCGGAAGCCAATCGGGCCGCCCACCCTGTATTGGCATTACAGGCTTTTTTGGCCGTGCCTTGGAACCCCCAAAGCCCCTAAAGTCTGCTGCGGTGTGCGGCAATTACAGACTTTGTAGCTGGGCTTCTGTCCTCAAGACTCAAGGCATCGAGGCATCTGTCTCTGTAGGTCTGGATACAGTGTATGGGACGCATGCTCTTGAGATGCACAAGCTTGGGAGCGTCGTTAACTCGGAAATGGGCATCTCTGCGGTCCTTTTGCAATTAGAATCTGTGGCTAAAGCAAGGTAGAAGCAGATGTATGGGGGATGGTTTGAACTGTGGGCCCTTGTGTTATAAACTCAGATAACTTGAGAGGGCCCCAGACGAGGGTGCGATTAAATAAGCCTGAGCAAGCAATGAGCAAGCAATCGAACTCCAGAGCTTAGTTCCTTGGTTTCAGGAGCTTTTGCAGGGCTGCATCCCAATTCTGCAAGCGAGGATGGAGCGATGTGGCTACTGCGGGCAGCCTGTCTCCCGCGCGAACTGCTGCAGCCGTACGGAGCTTGGGGGTCCAACCGCAGCCGTGGTTTCAGAGATGCTTGAATCTGCTGAAGCGGCTCGCAACAAGCTGATCCGCCCTCACCACCTCCCCCCCTCTGTTGCCGCCCCAGGCTGCCACTGCACCTACTATTGCGGTCGGCACCTCAGAGCCCGAGAGTGCTTGGGCAGCTTCATTCGTGGTATGATAGGGGATGAAGCACCAAGTCGCGACGCAGCACAAGCACCGCAACTGCGACATTACGTGTAGTTTCGCCGGGGAGTTGCTGTGCCAAGTGCAGACGCCAACTTGTGAGAATCTTCTTTGCAGAGGCCGCGAGTGTCAGAGATCTCACTGGAAGGCCTCATCAGGGACTTTGCAGGGTCAAAAGACAGGTCTTGTGTGTCTCTTAGTAGAGCATCTCTTGAGCTGATTGAGCCCGCCATCATACTCCATCATGCCGAGGGTAAAGTATGTCAGACATTGGCTATGCCATGTCGTGCCGTCTCAGAGGTGCACAAACTTGTTTGTCAAAGTGCGCTGGAGTGAGCTTCTGAAAGAGGGAACTGTGTCCAAAGGGCAGGATGTAGGGACGTAGCGACTGCGATGCTTCTTGAGGCCTCGGGCACCACCCGAAACCCCACAAGGGCACGCCGTCTTCCACTGGAGCACAGAAGTTGCTCAGCCCTTTGTGTCTCAGTTGAAACTTTCGAGAATCGAGCTCAAGAGGGCAGGTGGTGACACTGTGACAGCATAGCAAACACGTGCGCCGCTACTGCAGCAAAAGCCGCTTGCAAGAGTGGCTGGTCTCTGCCTATCGCAGATGGCACCGCTCAGGGAGACCCTATCTGCGACTACCGCCGTCCTTGACTCCGATCTTAAGCATGGGCTAAGTACTGCACAGTATGTCGAAGAAGCCCGCCCCATTCAGCCGTACACTGTACATACTCCTCCCGAAGCTGGTGCCCCTTTAATAGCAAGATTTAAAAGTAGAAGAACGCCGCGTCAGAAGGCTGCCACCAAAAAAAGAGCTTGCGCTGGTTGCCCTTCCCGGCTCTTGGATTTGGCCATGAAGATGTTCGACAAAGCAAAACCTGATGCAAAGCCCTCAAGCCAATGATCCTTCACCGCACCGTACTGGAACCAAGCTGTAAAAGGTGATGGCTCATTGCATCATTGCACTTGCAATCCGGCAGGACCACGCCTTTGTCTGTGGCCGATGTCGCAGGCAGGGTTGGCCACGTGAGTGCAATGCGTTGGCCAATCGGCATCCTTAGACATCTGCACACTTTGGAACGTGTGCGTGAAAGCCTGCGAGAGCATGCGCGACAACTTGAGAAAGGAAGACAGCAGAATGGACCGCACTGCCCAGCATGCAAGAAGTTAGGCACCGTGGCGAGGCAGCGCCGTCCCCAATACAAGATCTCTCCCAACACCCGAGATGGCCCAAGCCCCCGTTGTATATAGTAATTTCATGTAATTTCAGCGTTTACAGATGTTTGTATGCAGTAGGTGTACGCTACCACATATATATATATACATGTATACATATATATGTATATATATACATGTATACATATAGATATATGTACATGTATCTTCCATATGTATACAATGGTAGTAATAATAATAATAATAATAATAATAATATATTATATTCCATTTATATTTATATTTATATCTATATTTAAATTTAAATTTACATTTATATTTATATTTATGTAGATGTAGACGTAGACGTAGATGTAGATGTAGATGTATATGTATGCATATGTATATGTATATGTATATGTATGTGTATATGTATATGTATATGTATCTGTGTGTATATATACATACATACATACATACATACATACATATGATCTGTATAAAGCTTAGTCTCCTTCTCTGCAATGCTTGAAGGTGGGAGCCGCTCCCTTCACGAGAGCCCAACGGACCCTTTTGCTCAGTGGCACCCGAGAGTTCGTTTCTGCTTTTGGCCGCGGAGGGGGGGGGGGGTGGGTGGGGGGGGAAGCGGCTTCTACAGGGATATAGGGTTAGGGTTAGGGTTTCGGAGGGTTGTAGGGAGATACGGTTTTAGGGTTGTAGAGTGATTGGGTTTCAGAGGGTCAAAGAGTTACAGGGTTTCAGGTTTATGGAGTGATAGGGTTCATCAGCCTGCCAATCACACAACACATGATGCTTGCAGGATGGCCTTTCCAGCATGAGGCCGGACTTCAGTGTGCAGGAGCTTCCGATGCTCCGAATTCAGTCCGAGAGAGAATGAGAGAGACAGAGGCAGAGAGAGAGGGAGGGGGAGGGAGAATTCGTGGTTGGCCGATCAGATGCACCTTCGGACTTTGCGCACCCTTGGGGCAACTCCCCTGGTGCAGAGAGAGAGAGGGAGAGAGGGAGGGAGGCGCACAGCCAGGGGGTTCGCCCCCACGCCCCCAAGAAAGAAAGAAAGGGAGGGAGGGAGAGAGGGAGAGAGGGAGAGAGGCAGAGAGGGAGAGAGGGAACCATACGCGCTGCAAGCAGCAAGGGAGAGCGAGAGAGAGAGGGAGGCCGAAAGGAAACTGAAAAGTGCTCAAGGCTTGCTGCGTCTTTACATGCCTTTAAATGGATTCGGGGCAGTAGTGGTTTGCAGTTGGATTAGGGGTAGTATTGGTTTGCAGAGCAGTTTGATTGTGGGGCTTGATGCTTTCGGGTGTCAGGATTTCTTGCGCCTGCTGAAGGTCTATAGGGTTGAGGGTCTAAAAAAAACGCTAAGCGGGGCGAGCAGCAGCACCAGCCCGCTCAGCCGACGCACTCACTCAGCCTGGCGACGGCGAAGGGGGCAGGAAAGCCTCACAAGCACTCACCGCACAAGACGCTGCTCAGCTGTGGCAGGCGTACCTGGTTCACGAGCTCTGGGAGGAGGAGCAGCAGCAGCAGCGGCGGAGCATGAAGCAAGAGCCAACAAAGTCAGCAAACAACGGGGGGCGGAAGAAGTAGCTGGGGTGATGGCCAGGGACCACACGGACCACGGGCCCCCCAAAGCGTTCGTCATTTTTTTGTGTTCCAGGCTGCAGAGCACTAGTGCGAAACAGCAGTTTCACAAAGCGGGCCGACCCTAAGACTGAAGTAGGGAGAAGCAAGTCCGTAGGGCACTTGTCTAGGCGCGAGTGCTCAGGCAGGGTTACGTAGTTTCTCCTAGAGTCCGTGGCCCCGGGCATCTCGCCCCAGCGTGGCTCCTTCGAGTTCGCGAAGCCAGCAGTTTTGCATCGGATTTCGGGAGTAGCTGTCATTTACTTGGCCTACTTTCTGGAGTACCTGCAAGCGAAGCTGAGTGTATGCGATTTGACTTGATCTTGCTGAGGAGTATAGTTACTTGGGCTATTTTTGACAACGTTCTCTACTGGGCACAGCCTTGCAAGCACGAGACGTGTCACAGAACCCACACAACACAGGGCAGCCAGGAGATCTCGGACAAGATCGCGTACAAGGCTACGCACGTGGCTTTCAGGAATCGAGACGACACAGCAACCTCCCCTAGATTTGCTTTGGCGAGATTGTGTGAGACTCGAGGCACATCATTCAGCAAGTCAGTTGCCTGCAGCATTCAGAGCAGCAATGACAGGGTGGTGGTGCTTTCAATGCAAGCGAATGGTGAGCAACAAGGACAACTTTTGTGCCACATGCGCCACACCATGGTGGAACAGTGGAGCGCCGGAGAGCTATGCGAACACATGGCATCAGACACCTTGGGGCGATCAAAATTGGACAGGTGCAGCACAAAAGCCGCACTCCCCAAGACCACACTCACCGAGAGCACGGCGACTGCAGCAGTGGCAGGCAGATGCAGGAACTGGCAAGGGCAAAGGAGGCAAAGGAAAAGACAAGCCGGCTGGTTGCCAGGCGCCGACGGTCAGCCAGCTACCTCAAGCGCCCAAGCCAGGCACCTTTCCCGCCGCGCCCAAACCAGGCGTTTCCTCAACTTCCAGTTCTGGTTCACAATCGGATGCGCTTTTGCTGGCCCTTCTGCCCCATCTGTCACAGGATGGACTTCCCCCAGCTCTACAGGCGCAGCTTGGCAGTTTCCGGTCCAGCAACATTGCGCTGGAGGGCAAGCAGTTGCATGCCCTGGTGGCGCAGAAGAGTCAGGCGCAAAAGGAGCTCAGCAAGTTGCAGCTCCAGCGAGACAAGTACGAACAAAGTTGGACTGGGTACATGGCCAAGCTTTCAGAGCTGTTCTCGAAACAGCTGCTAGAACACGAGGACATCCTAGCACAGTTCAACGCAGAAGAAGAGCAATGGGCACAGCACCTGGAGATGACAACGCAGGAGCTGAGAGACAAAACGTCAAGAGATGGACTGAGACCAAGGCCCGACGACATGGAAGCAGAGGCCATGGAACAAGACGAGGAGACTGCAGCTGCAATGGAAGCAGCAGTCCAAGAGAAGGCCAGAATGGAGGCTCGCCGTGCGGTCCAAGCCGAGAAGAACCAAGAGCTACAGAAAGCTCTACATGCAGCCAAGGTAGCAGCAGAGGCGACCACCAAGACCAGAGACAGCTCGCGTACACCAAGACGAGCAGGCAGACAAGACGTAGTGAACATATCAGACGACGACGGTGGTGGGACGAAAGTCCCTCCATAGGCCTGTGCACGAGCCGGTCGGGACTGTACAGGCGTTTGCCCAGCTGTGTTGCAATGGAGCACTCTGTCACGCATGCTGATGACTTCGTTTCTGAGCATTTTGCTCAGCAGTTGGCATGCAGTCTTGAGTTCGAGCTGCAGCTGGAGGATAATCTTGTGGAGTGCATGAGCTTTTTCAAGGACCCGAGAATGGAACATCCTTGCGACAGTGATATGCAGCGCCGGACGGAGACTTGTTCCGGGTCCTGTACCTTAAGTAGTTGTCCGGATTCATTTCCATCCTGGAGTGAGGCTGCTTTTGATGTCCGATTTACTGATACAGTTGTTGGCCTTCGCAGCATTTTGCGTAGAGGCCTGGTAAAGAAAACGAGCCTTGGTGTGCGATTTGCTGTTGATGGTGCGAGTGTTGAGGGCATGTCCAAAGTACAGAGCGGGCATGTTTCTGCAATGTCACAACGTACCTCTTGGCAGGACGGAGTTCGCCAGGAGACCGTAGCTACGAAGACTGTAAGTGTGTGCGGTTTTGAGGCCACTCTGCCAGAAGTGCAGAGTGCAGCTACTTCCGTAAATCCTACGCGTTCGGCCATAGGATCTGGGCAGGGGTGCCGTCCGGAGAGTCTTCATGTTGATGGGAGGGGTTCTCGTTCTCAATCTGCGCTTGATGCTAGAGTTGCTTCCTGCGCCGACAGCCAAGACAAAGCTGAACAGCCGAAGTGCATTTCGCTTGAGCAGTTGATTCCCTGCGAGCGAGAAGATGTTTGGCAAGCTGAGCCTGCGATTGTGTTCGCTGACATTCCTGAGAATCGTTTGTGGCAGGCGTTTCAGTTGAGCAACATGAGCCAGGATGTCAACTGTCTTGGCCGCTTGCGCCCAAAAACGTTCGAAGCCTTAGCTGCGCTTGAAGCATGGAATCAAGTTGACGAGGTCACT